ATATTAGTTGCTACATTACTGTTTCAAATACCTTTAATATATAAGGTTTTACAGTTCAGTAAAATGTTTACATTTTTCCATCATTTGGTTGATAAAATGAATGATTGAATATAAATTAAGCTTGTATAACAGAAATATGTTATGTCTAAAATTTAATCTTCCTATTATTAATTCATTTCTTATTAAATAATAATAAAAACTGCACATGCACATGCAGTTTTATGGCTGGTTTAAAACATATATATACCAGTATGAATTATTCTCAAGTCACCGGCAGGTGTGGAAACAGGCACTACTTCTACATACAGTAAATCCTTTTCTCTTAACTGCTAAAAACACCCTGCAAATCAGAACAGAAAGTGTCCAGATTTAGTTTTAGTGCTGGAATGAACACCACACCGAGGGTCACGACTGCACTATAGGATTAATAAATATTGAGAAATAGATTGCATGCTTAATTTTGTCCCATTGTCCAGCAGGAGGCCCTTCTCTAGAGCCCGGCTCATCTCCATCTGACATCAGCCTGAAGGTGCCCTCACAGAGCGAGCTCCGGCACAACATCTCCTCCATCTCCTCATCCTGCACCGACACCGTCAGCGGCACCACCGAAGGTCCAGACGAAGAGGAGAGCAGCAGCGGAGACTCGCCACTTGTTCAGTCTGACGAGGAGGAGGTACATGCTGACACTGCCCTCATGGGCCTCCCCGAAACAGAGGCGCTCAAAAGCTCAGACGACAGCGACACACAGGCCCCCTAGTGGCCACCCAGAGGAAACACAATCAGTCCTGTTGCCTTTCTGGGGATGAAAACCTGCTTTACATCAGGGTCCTGTGTGCTGAAGGCCAGCGGGACACTTTTTCATGGCTGTGCGTTGACACTTGGGGGAATGAAGTCTTTTGGGGCTGTTTGAGCTCATCAGACTGTTAGCACTGTGATTTTTTTGCTTTCATTTTTCCAGCACAGAACAAAATCAACCTGTTTTTAAAGAGTGGGTTCAACCAAAAATGAAAATTGCCATCGTTTAGTCTTCCTCTGTAAGACACAAAAGAAGATATTTTGACAAATGTTTTGTAGTACTTTTTCCCCTTTACAACAGACGTTAATGATTATTAGTCATTAAAATATCTTGATTTGTGTTCTACAGAAACCCATAAATGTTAAGCAGCACTTGAGGGTGAGGAAATGTTCATTTTTGTGTGAAATACTCTTTAAAATGACCTGACGAATCATAACTATATTGAAAAGATAGATTTTACAGTGCTCCTGCTAATATAACACATGTATGTTGCATGACATTTGTAATGCGGAGCTCATTTTTGCATACACTGAGCTGGCGGGAAGACTCTGAAATAAAATATCTGTCGAAATAAGAGTCAATAGATAGCTCTGGTGTAGGATTGATATTTCAAATCATAGCAACCTATAGAGAAAATAGCTTCCTCTGAAGATTTCACTCGCAGTCTGTGGGATAAAAATAGCAGAGAACATTCGGACCATCTGCAGTGCTGAATTTTAAAGCTCCCCGTAAAGCAAGCTGTTGCTCTAAAACCTTGTTACCTCTGGGGGAAAAAAACATGGTGACTGCAATGAAAGGAAGACGTTAGGTACATCTTTTGGAAGGATTGACAAGTGATTTATTTAATAAAACAAAAATATACAAACCTGAAAAATAAAAAGTAACCAAAAAGATCTCCACTGGACTGGAGGACTGAGTAACAGTGCATATAAATAAACAGTACAAGGATCAGGAGTATTACTGTATAAAAGAGGGTGAAGGGGATAACAAAGAAACAAACAAACAAACAAAAAAAGATTTAAGGCCATAAAAAGTATACAAGCACATTTTGGAAACACTGTTGAGTTTTTTTGTGTTTTTAAACCTTAAATACAAGTCAGTCATTTGGAAAGGGGCGACTATCGTGTCTGATTACAAGACTTTGATACAGTCAGTGCAATGGGTAAGCTAGACTACATGACTTTACTTTTGGGTAAAAGATTTTGCTTTCCAATAAAAAAAGTAAAGCTAAAAAACTAGGGATCACCACTATGACATACTTCTCAGTGATTTAAGCAGCACTTATTTTTTTATGTATGTTTTATTTTCGTAGCAACCCTGTTCACATCTAATTTATATAGGGATGAAGAAACCAATGTAGAAGTAAGGCTTTTTCTTCATCTCAAAAAACGTTGTCATCCAAACCCCTAGAGACCCGAACTCAAAGGCTCAATTTGAACATTTTACTGGCATAGAAACAGATTTGGGGCTTTTCTGTTTGCTTTTAGTGTTTAGCGGTTATATTCTATGAAAACAAACAAAAGAATTGTTCAAGAAACACTGGGAACCGATTACAAATATAAAGTCTGGGGGGACAAAAATGTGTGGGATAAAAGGGAAAGTGCATTTACAATTGAAAGAGTCACGATTAAAAACAGGTACAAATTGCCCTCGGCGTCAAACGGTTTCCGCGGAAAGGCCTCAAAATGTGCTTTTGAAAGTGGGGAGCTCCTAGTGTACTTAAACAAGGCCTTGAAACCTCCAGGTGTGGGATTTATGCAGTCAGAAATATTGAACACGTGTCAGATCTGCACACAAGTGTCTGACGCTCTTTTTGCAGCTGGAGAACTGAATGCCAGTAAGTATAATATGTGTGGGCTGTAATCTTACATGTTTGTTCATGTTCCTGACAGCATTAAAGCTCAAAGTATGCTTAGTTTTATGCACACACACACACACACACACACACAGTCAAATGTATAGCCTTTTAAAGTGTTCTTCATTTTATAATCTGTGCTTTCTCTATCCAGAAGTTGTGGTTGCTAAAATGTCAGTGTATGGCAAGCTGTAATATAGTTAAAACATATTGACTGAGCTACCAACCGATCCATTTCCTACGAACACTTTCCTGCCAATCGCAGTCATATCTGTTAACACATGAAAACAACGGCCAATCAGCAGTGTTTGAGAACATGCTCAACGGTGCTCAAAGGTTAATAGGAAATGGACAGTGAATGTCAGTATCGATTGGTATGGAAGTTGATGCTTTCGACACTACATGTTACATCTGTTTTCATCCTATAAGTACTTTTTAAGACACTAGCATCCAGAACATAAGTCTCAAACACAGTTCCAGGAGGGCCGCAGCTATGCACAGTTTTGCTACAACCCTAATCAAACACAGCTGATCCAACTAATCAAGGTGTTCAAGACCACTGGTCCAGCTGTGTTTGATTAGGGTAGGAGCAAAACTGTGCAGAGCTGCGGCCCTTCAGGAACTGAGTTTGAGACCCATTCTGTAGGTTTCAAACAAAACTGAAGGACTCAATTAGTACGATCAGGTGTTTAATTAGGGTTGAAACTAAACTGTGCAGAGTTTCAGGCCTTCAGAAACTGAGTTTGACACCTGTGCTCTAATTCCTTCAGAGAGACCCTTCATGAGCCATTCAGATTGGAATCCACACAATGTATTGAATTGATAATAGTCAACACTGAAAGAATTAGTAGCATATAAGAAATGAGGAATAACTAGTAGCCAATGAATAAGTCATAGTATTTAATGGAAAACATTCTAGTATTTTGTTATGTATTAATGTTAAACAGCTTGCCATACACAGTAACTACAAAACACTGTAGCCATTTTGTTATTTTGCTATGGTATTGTTTCCAGAGGGTCATTCTGAAAGGAGGTTATGTAAAAACTCTGAGTATGTTCAACCTGAAATGAGGGGAAACTCCAGCTTTTACATTTCAGGATAGGAAGTTTGAGCATGCGAAATTCTGTTGTACGGTGCTGCGAAAAGGGGCGGGATTAGACATTAAAAAAGCGAGCGATTGCTCCAGGTTTCAAATTTCTGTGCAGAGAGAATGTTTCTGTGCATGTTTTGATCCTGGATTGGTCTCATGCAATCATGTGATGCGATTTCGCAGGTCAGAGTTTACCAAGCTTGAACTTTGCAATGCAGAACATAGGAAACTTTTTGCACAAGCTTGTGTTTCCAGTCCGCCACAATGGCCTCTGTGTGAATGGAAGTCTATGGGGAGAAAAGTGCAGTGTGACCGCAGCTTAAGTCAAGACCGTTTTTAAAAGGGAGGCAACTTATTCTCAGAGTCAGTTGCCATGTTAAATTACTCTGTGAACCTCATCCTAATCCCAGATTTTTGTGTGGTCTCCAGTTTTTATGTGTGATATTCTAACAGTGAGCAGTATTATGCTGCAGTCACGCTGCACTTTTTCGCCCCATAGACTTCCATTCATGCACATGTAAATGCCACAGACCGGAAATGCAAGCTTGTGCGACAAGTTTCACAGGTCGCTGCTCTGCAAAGTTCAAGCTTGGTAAACTCTGACTGGCGGAATCGCATGACGTGACTGCGTGAGACCAATCAAAAATCAAAACATGAGCTCTCTGGACAGAATGTAAAATATGGAGCAATCGATTGTTTTTTTAAACAACTTGTTTGCAGCGTCATATAACAGAATTTCACATGCTCAAACTCAAGTGTGACAGCAACGTTACCCAGAGTTGATTGAGCTAACTAAGCTAAGCTGTTCTGAAACCAAAAACTCAAGAGATTCCCCAAGTTAAAGTTTTAGGTCAGAGCGTATTGAAACAGGCCCTTCTCAGTGACATTACACACAAATGATAGAAAGCTGCTGAAACATGAGATCACATAATCAGAGCCATAACAGGCAAAAATACTGTGTAAGCGATGATGACATTTTCAGCTTATTCGCATAAAAAGCAAAGCATACGTTGTGCTTTAAGCCATAATAACCATAAGCCCAAGAGACCAACAGGCTTTAAGGGTGATGGAGAAAAGTGTCACTACAGCACCAGTTAAACACAAATGATAGGAATAGTATAGGATATATTTATATCTATGTATACGCATATCTATACTCGATTTAATGCTAAAACAACCCGAAAATACTCATCTAAAAACCAATCTCAATACTAGTGCAAAAGGTCGTGCTTGTTGAATGAGACCCAATAGTCTTATGTCAGGTGCCCCAAACAGTTGTGTATTCGACACGAAACGCGATGTAACACTGAACCTCCGTACATTCAATATATTGACTAACCAGCCGGCAACTACACGCATCTGTAATACAAAAGTGCAATAGAACAGATTGTTGTATTGATATTATACACTAGGTACAAAGAGTATTGAAGAGTGTTTGTACACAAGTATTAGGAACACCTGATATAAAAGGAGAGGAATGTTGTGGTTTATGAGCGGCCCGAGCTGGACAGGGGGACGGGACCCGAGCTCTTGTTTCTGGGGCTTCGCTTTGCTGGTGTTTTGCTGGGGCCGACGCTTCTCTGCTTGACTCCAGCTTTATCCAGAGTTCGGCCACACACTCGATTCACCAGACTGTTGAGCTGCTCCTGAGAAAACAAAGCCAGAAGGTAACCATATTTCAATAATAGATTATCTTCAGAATATGCACTGTGCACATGTAGTGTCATTAATGATACATTGTGCTTCACTTGATGTTCAAAGGTGACATCCAGAAGAGTTTTTGTTTGTTTGTTTTACATGAAACTGGCGTTTTTTCTTCATTTTGCTCGGATCTCTTAATATGGAAAATACACTAATTTGAACCAGGGAATCAAATGCTTTGAAAAAATCAGGTTTACAGTCCTATATTATTTTATTAAAATAAAACAAAACTCTGCAACTAATTGTAATATATATTTACAAAATGCTACTTTTAAATATATTTAAACATTTATTTTGATTTACTATACACGCACTACCTGACAAAAGTCTTGTCCACTATCCAAGTTTTAGGAAAAAAAATTATTAACTTGTCCTTCCAGTTGATCATTATGGTATCAGAAGTGGCTTATATGAAAGACAAAGGCCTCTAGATTACACTAATTTGACCAAAATAAAATATGACCATGTCTTGATTTTTAATAATTTAATTAGGACAGTAAGGTCTGACTTTCCTTAGACAAACGTCTTGTCACTTAACAGGAAAAAATGTACAGTATAGAATATAAAGTCATGCTGCAGTGGAAAAGGAAGGCTTAAAGGACTGCATCCACACATCTCTGCAATGACTCAAATAACTTATTAATAAAGTCATCTGGAATGGCAAAGAAAACGTTCTTGTAGAAGTCAGAGTTTAGCATTGTAAAATATATCAGTAGAATTTTTACTGACCAAAATCATTCATGAAAACAATCAAAACGAGGGCTAATAAATCTGAATTAAATTAGGTCATCTGAATCAATACCCAGCCCTAGTAAAACAAAATAAAAGGGTTTACAGTATCTGATTGAACTTATATTGAACTTGTATTTGAAGTGCTTTCTTATTCGATGTTTGATGTAATCTCAATCAAAACACAAAAAAGGGTGGGGCATAGTGTAAATCCTCCCCTAAAAGATCTGCCAATAGAATTTTGTTTTCTCACAGCACTGCCAAGTGCATCAAATAAAAAGTAAACGAGAAGCGTCTTGAAGGGGGCGGGGCATGTCAGATACTAAAGAGTGTTTAATTCATTACGATTTGATGAGAAACTGTAGTATGAGGTGATTTGCATAAAACCGTTGATCCATTTTGGCTGAGGTGACAAAGTCACAAGCTTTACATGTTTATATCAGTTTTATATCTACTGAACATGAATTTTGTCACAGTTTTGAAGCACACTAGCTAATAGATATCTTAAAAACTAACAATACTGATCCTAACATCGAAAAACCTTTATTTAAATTTTATGGGACCTTTAATACGTTTAGATTTTATCTTCAGATGCTACTTTAAAAAGTAAAGAGCGTCGGGTCATGAAGTACCTCAGAGTAGCGGAACATCATCTTGAGGCCGCGGGGAGACCTGCGTTTCTGGATGTAGCGGAGCGCACACTCCAGACAGAAAACCACATTATCACTCTCATGAACCACCTGTGGATGAACACACAGCATTCAGAACTCCTGCTTCGGCTCGTCACGTGTGTAATGAGCTTTACCGTGGTACTTTACCATAGAGAGGTAGCAGAGATGCTGGCACACTTGACAGCGTCTGTCGGCCGTGTCTTCAGTGAATCTGGAGCGCTGCTGCTTCCTCCTCTCTGTAGGAGATTCACAGTTTGTGCCGTATCTGGCAGACAGACGGAGCCCAGCCTCAAACAGCTCCCTGCGCTGGCGAATCTCTGCATCCCTGAACACACACACACACACACACACACACAGCAGCTTTACCCACAGCTAACACTATCTATTCTAATGTATGTTGGATCTTACGTTTTGTAGTAAATTTTCTGTAAAATGCTGGTGATAACATTTCAAATGTAAAAATATTAACAGATTTATTTTTTGTTATTAAATTTTATATTAAATTATTTTATAATTCATTAATATGAATGTTTTTATAATTATAATATATAATAATTGAGACGCTGTGGAGCAGTAGGTAGTGCTGTCGCCTCACAGTAAGAAGGTTGCTGGTTCGAGCCTCGGCTGGGTCAGTTGGCGTTTCAGTGTGGAGTTTGCGTGGATTTCCTCCGGGTGCTCCAGTTTCCCCCACAGTTCAAAGACATGCGGTACAGGTGAATTGGGTAGGCTAAATTGTCCGTAATGTATGAGTGTGAATGAGCGTGTATGGATGTTTCCCAGAGATGGGTTGCAGCTGAAAAGGCATCCGTTGCGTAAAACATGTGCTGGATAGGTTCTTTTTTGCGTGTTTCCATTACTTTTAATTTTTAAGTTTTAGTCATTTCATTCGTTTTTGAAAATGTATTTAATAATAAATGTTGTTCAATGTGTAATATATGTTTTATTTAAGGTAATTATATTTAATTATAATAATCCTGTTCTGTATTGGAGGTTGAGGAAAAATTATTATTATTAAAATATTATCTATTCCCCAGTAATTCTGTTGTTAAATCAGTATAATTACATTAAACTTTAAATGTAATCATTTTAAAATTGTACATTTTTTATTACTTTTTAAAAAATGTATTTAATAATAAATATTGTTCAAGGTGTATTTTACCTCTTTTACAAGATGTAAGATAAGCCGTTGGTGTCTCCAGAATGTGTCTAAGGTTTCAGCTCAAAAACCCATCAGATCATTTATTCTAGCCTTCAGAATCTGCCCATATTGGTGTTTGAGTATACTGTAGCTGTTTTGTAGCCTGTGGCTTTAAATGCAAATGAGCTGCTTCTTCCTGCCCACCATTCCCACATGCCTGCCTGCTTCTCATGCGTTATGTCAGATGAACAGCAGTCAATGATAGAGACAGACGTGGATGAAGCTGAAATACTATTCATTCGTCAAAAAGACCAAGTAAGTTAATTTGATGTATTTGTGGTGGAGTTTATTCAAGTCTTTCTGAAATGATGAGTCTCACACACCATTCAGCTGTGGTTATTGTAGCGGTTAAGAAATACAAGGCGTCTTTATTACAAACATGATCTGTTTTAAAAACGTTTTAAACTTATAAAAATCATAAAGAGTTGTAACAACTATTTAAATCCTATTTTAATCCTAGTTTATTTGAAAAAAAAAAAAAAAGTTTTGTGGACATGTTATTATAGAAACATGGCATCTGTCAATCAATTTTGTGGGTGGAGAAACCACAATCCTACATCACGTTGCGGTGGGCCTCAAAATGTGAGGGATTTTGATCCTATTTTACCATCAGTAAATTTAAAAAAAGAGTGTTTTTTATCACTCCAATATGACTGGACAAACTATACCTGCACACCGTTCTGTCCAAACAGCTTAAAAAAGGTGATTTTCATCATAGGTGCCCTTTAATTGTACTTTGACGAATGGTGTAATATATTTAATATGGACAATATTTCAATCTTTTAACGTATTAAAACATATTTTTAGGGTCTTCATCGAAATAGGATCTATCAGCAATTATAAGAAAGAAAAAAATGTGTGAATGTGCTCTGATTTGCTCTAATGAATAAATAGCACAGTGCAGTGGTCCAGCAGATCATAATACAAATAAATGTTTGTTAGTTCTTGTCTTTTTGACTATATTTCAGTCTGATCTTTTGTCATCAACGATACTGATTGCTGACCTCCATTCAGAGCATCTGCGATTAAGCTGTTTATTTACACTGAATGAAGAGACATCAAGCACTGACAACATGAACTGTGGGTCCGTCAAGTCACGTTGGGTCTGTTGCTTTGGCAGATGCTGAAAAATGTTCAACTTTAAGCACAACAGAAGTGTCAGCCAATCAGATTGCTTTACGCAAATATTAGTGCAGATGCTAGCTATCCCATACTGGAGAATAACGGTACATTCAAAGAATGATTGTTGCTGCTTGTTTAAACTACTTAATTAAAATAAGCTGGATCGACACAATTTATGAGTTTTTGGGGGGACAACTTTATTGTTTTATGTTCAGTCCACTTCAATTTGTAAAAACAATTAGGTTAACGTTATCCATTTGTTTTGGGACAACATAAAGGAACAGTGCGGAATCCAGCTTTTTTTAGTGTATAGATAAGATAGAGGAAAAGCTTGTTATCTCGGTTGGTAATTGCCCAGTACTTTATGATCAATATTTATACACTACTACTAATAATAATTAATTATAAGTCTTTTTTTGTGTCAAATTCCAAGATGGATGTGGTTGTTGTGACAATAAGAGTCCAGTGAGAGCAGATTTCCACAAACCTGAGATCTCTGAAGAGACTGGAGACGGCAGTCATGAGCTGCTTGTTGTCCCGCTCACATGTGGTGATCTGGTAGAGCAGTTTCTCTGTTGAAAAAGGCTCCTCAATACGACGCCGTTTCAGATCCTGCAAAGCAAACGCGGCACCCGAGTGTGAAAGACTGGCTAAAGCTCACTTCTGAAAGCAGCTGAATGAGAGGTAAAGTGTCAGTCACCTTAGCTGCCTCATAGCCCAGTTTCATCCACTGGAGGTTGGCAAAGTGCATGGTCTCTGAGACGCTGTAGCCACAACACACTTTAGCCACAAACGTCCCTGGGAAACAAACCATGAACTGGCCACTGTGTTGCACTGTCCGGTACACTTTCACCCCTTTACGACGGAGCACCTCTGGAGAAATCTGAGGAGGACACAGGAACATCAGCTCAAAACATTCTCTTTACAGATTACTGAAAGATGAACGACTTAAAGTGGATCTATTATGCCCCTGTTTACAACATATAATATAAGTCTCTGATGTCCCTAGAATGTGTATATGATGTTTCAGCTCAAAATACCACATAAATCTTTTTTATAACTCTTAGAAACTGCCCCTTTCAGGCTTTTGATCCAAATTGTGTCATTCTGGTCACTCTCACTTTCTGCTCTCTGCCCTCTTTTCATAAGTGGGAGGAGCTACAAATGCCAATGTGTCAGCATAGTGTCAGATTCAAAAACAAGACTAACGTCCTACGCTAATGAGGGAGAGATCGTTACATTCCCCCTCTGATGACATATAAAAAGGAGACTGTCGATGAGTGTTCCTGCAGACTGTTTTAAAACAGTTTATAAAAAATAAAATGAATCCATTTCTACCATTAGAGGCTAGCTTAATTTACACACTGTGGCCACACAATGGTTTAAACCCCTTACAAACTTGATTTTTGCATAATAGGTCCCCTTTAAGGAAACATATTTTGTGTTTCTGTAAAGAAAAATAAATGTCCTTACAATTAACTTGTAAGTGGGAAAAAATGATGAACCATGACAGTCATCCCCTTTTGATACAATCCAAGCGTGTGTAAGCACTTTTAGCTCAAAATTAATTCAGCCCCGGTGTTTCAGGGAATGATACAGGAAGTCATTTTTACCAACATTGATCAGGTTGTATAACCAAAGTCCTACTTGATGAATTACGATGATTTGTAATAGCATTAATACTGTAGATATGGACTAGTGTCTACTCACCGACTGAAACTAAGGTGTGCAGTATGAATGTAATTTTTGTATATTATCGTCTTTTTATATTTTACTTATCTTTTTTATTCATTTATTTTATTTATCTTTAGTATGGAAAGCGAATTTCCCTTTGGGATTAGTACAGTCTAAACAAAAAAACAAACAAACAAAATGATGGTTTTGTCATAAAATTGAGCAGATTACAAAATGTACTTCTTTCCCCCCTTACAGTGACAGTCAAGCGATTCTAAAATGTTATTTCTGTCATCAATTTCTGCAAACACAAACATATTTTGATTAAATGTCAATTTCTTTCATACAATAAAAGTCATGCAATGATTTTTGTTAATAACATTTCTGCAAAGCATAAGAGAGTATGTTTTGAAGAAAAATATGATGGTCAACATCAAGGGGTCCTGAAAATATACATTCTATCATCCAAATTTCAGTTTTCAGCAAAACACAAAAAGAATTTTTAATTCCTCACAAATAAATTCATTTACATCCAAGAAATGTATTTTTTGCCATCAATTATTGCAGAACACGAAAAAAACAATCATCTTTATTGAAAAAAATGTCTATTTCTTGAATACAGTGAAGAAGGGTTCAGAAATAAACGTTTGCCATTACATTTGAAGATTTTAACCCATTTGTGCCCAATATTTTCTAAATGTTTATGTATGTGGCCTTGCTAATAGTGTCCTATATGAACATGTTTTGCGTTTATTTTCTCCAGGCTTTAATTATTTTCTAGAAAATCGTATTTTAATATGTAACAACTATATTTGCTCGTGGGCAATAATGTTATTAGCACCCTCCAATAAAAAATTTGTGAACAAAAAATATTTTTAGTAACATGTAAATTGCCTTATTTAGGAGAGTTTGCCTCCATTTTGTATTCTGGAATTAGGGGTAGAAAGTTGAGATCCTCATGTGAAAGAAAGCAAATCAATTTCTTTTTTTCTTTCTTGAAATCTTTCATTTGGTCGTTTGCTTGCATGTCATTAGGAAAATAAACATGGATAACATGTGGAAAAATTACTTAAATTAAATGGAAAAGGGCAACTATATTTGCCAGGTGGTTTACATGGGTTACGAATACGAAAGTAAAACAAATGTGAAAACCATCAGAAACCATCAATATGAAAATGTGTATTGAAAGACATATATATATATATACATATATAACAAAGTAAAAATATACAACAAAGTAAAAACAACAAATAACTTTGTTAAAAATAACAAAGGTCTTAAAAATGTTTGTGTTTTTTTATGTGATTTACTTTAATATAGAGAATAATGTTCTTCATGGATCTTTAAACAATCTCCCTGTGTGTTCCAAAGAAAAAAATTGACATGCAGGCGAGTAAATCCTCATCAAAGAATGTGTATTTTGGCTGAACTGCCCCATTGAGAGAGAAAGTAAACAATGTTGATCTCTCACCATAATGTTCCTCTCCAGCATCTCCAGCCCTGGAGTGCCGTTAGCCTGTAGCAGTGTGTGAACTACTTTATCAAGTTTGGATTTCTCTTCAGCTGGAATACAGTACCTGAAGACAAGAAGCACAGTCACCATCAAACATGCCCAAACATTCTGCTCCACCCACCTTCATCTCATTTCTGGCAGCTGTAAATAAAGACTCACCAAATGCAGTCAGCACCAGTGTGTAGATAATCAATATACGGAAGGCTGTTCTGGTCCCGACACCAGCATGAGGTAGAAAAGACCATGCCTATGTTCAGCCAGGGGATGGTCACCCCTTCAGACAAACACACACGCACACATTCATTTCAGGATGATGATTTAACACTTGATCGTCAAGGTGTTTTATTGCATGCGTGGAATGTAAAGCTCTCAGGAAATGGTTGAAATGTTACCTGGCACAGCACCAAGATGACGTAAGATGGATCCTGAGTTATTGGAAAGGACATTAAGATTCCATCCATGCCTTGAGAACGAGACAAACAAATCAGGGGAAAGCAAACAATGTTTTATGCACAATGAATTTAATTAATGAACACTTTACAATAGATCTTATAGGATAGTTTACCCAAAATGCTAATTTTCTCTCTATTTTAATCAAACTAAACTTTTGTGAATTTCACTCTTCTGTTGAACAAGATATTCTGATGAATGCTGAGGGAAAACAAAGTAGACAAAGTGGAAACAAAAATTACAATAAAAGCCAACAGCTGTTTTTATCCCAGCATTCCTAAGTATACTTCCTGTGTGTTCGACAGAAGAAAGAAACTCAAACAGGTGTGGAGAAGGAGTTGTTTTAAACACATTTAAATGAATAATAATTGTATTTTATTGTGGTGTAATTTAGTTTAATTATACTACCAGACAAAAGTCTTGTCGCCTATCCAAGTTTTAGGATCAACAAATAATAATTTGACGTCTAGTTGATCATTTGGTATCAGAAGTGGCTCTCATGAAAGGCAAAGGCCTTTAGATCACGCCTATTTGATCAAAATAAAATATGATCATGCCTTGATTTTTGATTATTTATTCAGGACAACAAGGTCAGACTTTGGTGAGACAAAGGTCTTGTCACTTAACAGAAATAATGTACAGTATAGAATATAAAGTCATGCTGCAGTAGAAATAGGATTAATATTTTGTATGACTCCCATGAGCGCTTGGAGGACTGCATCCACACATCTCTGCAATGACTCAAATAACTTAGACCTCGGATTAATAAAGGGACTAAGCCGAAAAGAAAATGAATGAATAAACATCAAATTTCTCAAGAGTGATTTAATTTTTTTTAAGGGGACATAAATAATTCAGCTAATATTGTACTTTGAAGTAGCCCATGTGATTCAACAACTTCACACCAAAGAGAGCTGCGAAACCAGCAATTTAGTTACGAGGCGTTCGCTAAACACTGCAGACTTCAGCATCTGACAAGCAGAGAGGAGCAGAGTGTAAGCTTCCTTCAAGCTGTTGTATTCACGCCTCAATCTGTCATGCAGTTAACATTATTAATGCTAAAAGTGGATTCCTTGAATTATGGGGAATGATAGTTCTCTCATTTAGAGTGACAAAAACTGTAGAAACAGCCCTGGCACTGAGACACTGAATATCCAGAGTTTTATATAATAATAACTATTTGTCAATCATACTAAACCATCTCACACTCACACATGCTAGAATTAAATAAAATAGGTTACAGGCCAAATTGCCTGTAACACTTCTATTTACTCGTCAATGCCATTTTTTGCACATTTGGGACAGCTTGAGTGGTGTTCATTTTAGGCTGTATCAGTAATTTTTTGTAATCAGTGTAATTATAATGATCTATTTTTTCATACAGTACATCGTGATGTTACTGGATATGTTTAAAATGCTAACTGTGTTATGGTATTTTCATGTTAACAATGGTTAATATATTGTGAACTAACCTGAACTCTGATAATAATATAATAATAATATTAGCACCTACAATTTAATTGTAAAAATGTTGACCTTTTTTTAACTCTTACTTTGAAAATGGCTCAGACTTGCCCACAGGAAATCCACTCCCATGAGTCTTTGTGTCAACTCTTCCACAGTGCACAGCAACATGGCTTTCCTTTTCATCAACCAATCGCCAGTACTCCTTCTGTAGATGTTGACAAAAACAAGAATTATTATTAAAAGAAAATATACATTTCACAGATTTCCGCTCTTGAAAGAAAAATCTGGCAGTGAGACGCACCTCGACTTCAGCCGTGTCCGGCTCTTTGCTGAAGCACATGTTCATAGTGTTCCTGGCTGCCCTGAAGAATGTTGTCAAAGAGAATGATTTCCCCTGTGGATGACAGACAAACAGTGAGCATCTACAACAAACACTGACCATCATTTACAGCAGTGCTTCTCAACCACGTTCCTGGAGGACCACCAGCTCTGCATATTTTCCATCTCTTCTTATCCGAGGGTGTCCAAACTCCGTCCTAGAGGGCCGGTGTCCTGCTGAGTTTAGCTCCAACTTGCTTCAACACACCTGCCAGGAAGTTTCTAGTGTATGTAGTAAGAGCTTGATTAACTGGTACAGGTGTGTTTGATTAGGGTTGGAGCTAAACTCTCCAGGACATCGGTCCTCCAGGACTGAGTTTGGACACCCCTGCCTTAACCAAACAAACCTGATTGAGATCATCAGCTCATTAGCAGAGACTCAAAGAACTGTAATAGGTGTGAGACAAAGGAGATATCCAAAACATGCAGTTTTGGTGGTCCTCCAGGACTGTGGTTGAGAAATAGTGATTTGCAGGAAATACAAGTCACACCAGCTAAAAATTGAGAGAAAAACCCCACAGATAAGTTGCACTGGAGTTTCCACCTTATTTTGGCTTCTAATGTATTATATTGCTAGAAGTAAATAACAGATGGCTTAGTCCCTTTAATAATCAGGGGTTGCCACAGCGGAATGAACCGCCAACTTATCCAGCATATGTTTTATGCAGCGGATGCCCTTCCAGCTGCAACACATCACTGGGAAACATCCATACACACATACACTACGTCTATTCAGTTCACTAATAGCGCATGACTTTGGACCATGGGGGAAACCGGAGCACCCAGAGGAAACTCACGCCAACACGGGAGAACATGCAAACTCCACATAAAAATGTTAAATGAGTCAGCTGGGACTCGAACCCTCGACCGTCTTGCTGTGAGGCATCAGCGCTAACCACTGAGCCACCGTGCCTGCTACAAACATTTGTGTTCATATTTAAAATATATTATGAGTCATAAACAGACATTAATCTTTGACATATAAGAGAGGTCATTGTGCTTTACAACATCCTGATCATTTCAGAACTCAAAACGTTCAGTCCAAAGACACGGGCTTACTAATACAGTTCCAGATGACATCAGGAAATACTCGGTCGTATGTTTACTTCATTTTACTGCAATTTGTTTACTATGCACAACTCATTGCTGGGTTTTCACAAAGACTGAACAGGCTCATCTGGGTACTAAACTATGAAATATGTAATCTGTCAAACAGACGTGCAGAAGTTTGCATCAGTGGGCACACTGCAGTCCTGAGATTCAGTGGGTAATGTTGGAACTTGGAAGCAAATCGTTTTTGACTCATTTTTAGGTGGACCTGCAATATCAAGCAGCTGAAAATGAATGAGACTGGTAGTCTTTTCACATTTATCTGGTCCTTTGCACACTTATGGGAAGAATAAAGCAAATAAATACATTTGCACTTGCCATTAGGATTTTTTTTTTCAATCCGATCGCAAGTGTAAGATGCTAAATAAAGCTGCAAATGGTGCTTTAAATATTAAAGTTCATCCACTTTTGACCAATTCTAGAGGTGGTAAAAAATGACCAGATGGCTTTCATAGAGTAAATTGCTGATGTGGCTGAAGCTGGATTTATACTTTCGCCTGGCACTGCATCACACACCTCCGCTAACTGCGCGCACACCTCACAAAACAGACAAGGCTTTTTTACTTGCCGCATTTGCCATTGTGATATTCGTTAAAACTACAGGGGGCGGTCAAAAGGAACTGACAGTAAAGTCAGACGGATAAACAGAGAAGTAGAACGTTTCCGGAACTACATCATATTATTAATATCATTCAATACTTAAAACTAATAATTTTTTAAAATTCTTTTATTGATTATATAGATTTTTATAACCAAACAAATTTTTTTTATCAAACTTTGATGCATCACTTGCTTTTTTTCATGTCTCGGACAGTTTTACCTAATAAAGTTTATTAAAATTTTATTGACAACCGAACATGGGTTGCTCTACAAAAATATATAAAAATTATATATATATATATATATATATATATATATATATATATATATATATATATATATATATATATATATATATATAATTGTTATTTATTTATTATGGCAAGAATAAAAGCAACAACAACAACAAAAAAAACACTTAAAAATACAGATTTATCTTTTTGATTTAGCTGATTTTAAACAATTTAGAATTGTTGATTGATTTCAACAATTCACACATTACTTTCTGTCCTCTTCTTATGCTAAAAAAGGCAATGATGGTCCAACATTCCTGACCATTATTACCAATAAAGCCTAGAAAAACAGGCCATCAGTATATTGTAAACCGATAGGTTCAAATATTCCTTTCCAGCTATCAAAGAAATAATTTGTTCCTTAATTATATTTTTGTAACTATTAAATTGTTTTATATTCACAATTGTAATATATACAATAGTGTAAAACCTATGACTGAGGGAATAACATATTTCTGTAACTGCGTTCATTTCTGTAACTACGTGTTAATGGCCTCTTTTGTTTTTTAAAAACTTATTCTTCAGGTTTTTCCAAACTTTTTAACAAAAACTTTCCTCCTTTCCCACGGCTGTTGCTATTTCTAGCCAAGAATATTTGATCATCTGGTTATCTCTATGATCACGGATCATAAAGAAGCCTGTAGAGGTGTACTGTTTCAGACAAAATCTCTTCAGAGTGTTTCATATTCAACTCAAATTTCAATTCAACTCAAACATGGCACCGCGCGCACTGTTTGCTCAAGTCTCAAAAAATGGTGTGCGCACCGCCAGCCGAAATAATGTCACGTGCACCCAAAGCGAATTTCCACAATGATATCACACTCGCTGCGCGCACTCAAACGAACTAGCAGACGCATTGAGTATAAACCAAGCTTGAATGTGTTTGAACAGTCATAAAAACCTACTGTACTTTACCCCTAACACACCTGATAAATTGATGAAGAGACAAAATATAAGAATGAAGTGTTTCTGTTAAAGCTCATCACAAGTGGTCACATTGGTAATTCACAGTTCATAAAAATACACCTGCACCTAAAAAGACAGCACACATACCCTGTATATGCACTTGTGTTGTTCACTGATCATCCCTTCTTCCTCTCCTCTCTTCTCCAGTCTCTTCTGCCGGGTGCTTTTGGCCGTGGGGTCGAGCTCTCGGAGGTGTTCTCGCGCTCCGCTTCGGTGCAGCGCTCCGTTCACCAGTCCGTTTTTGGGCTCACAGCGAGGAAGCTGCAGAGCGGCATGCTGGGCTATGTCTCCCTGGCCCTCGAGGGGCCCGTTTCTTCTCTCCAGGGCCTCCTTCTCCGCCAGCACCTCCTTCTCCAGCTGTGCCCTCTGCGCTGGGGTCAGGGAGTCGTAAGACAGCAGGTACTGGCAGTAAGCCTCCTGGAGCTTGGCCAGCCGATCCTGAGCAGAGCGTGGGATGCCCAGCAAATCCGCCAGCCGGCCCCACGTCTTCAGGTCTGTCACTTGCTGCATGCCTCCCATTTCATTAATGATCTGGAAGAATCTGGCCAGGTCCAGCTCGCAGCCACCTAACAGGAAGCAGAAGAACACGCATACATCACCACATGTTGTTGTTGCTTAATTTTTAATGAACTTTTATTAAATTATTTTGTGCTTAGACTGATTAAACTCTTAACTGTCAGCTCCAGTTTTTGAGAATTATGTAAAAATGATATGTTCAACTTCAATTGTTGCAAATCTACGCTCGGTGCAGATTTAAGCTTGGTCTCATTTTAAATTAAAACACAAGTCAAAGTGTCACTAAAGTGATGAACCTATCATTACATTTATTTAAATAATAAAACAATAAATGTATATATTTTTTATTCATTTATTAATTTTCCTTTAGCTTAGTCCCTTATTTATCAGGAGTCATGACAGCAGAATAAACCGCCAACTTATCCAGCATATGTTTTACGCAGCGGATGCCCTTCCAGCTGCAACTCGGTACAGAGAAACACCCTCACACTCTCACACTCGCACACTCATACACCACAGCCAATTTAGTTCATCCAATTCATCTTGATGCATGTTTTTGGACTGTGAGGGAAACCCACACCAACATGGGAAGAACATGCACACTCAATGCCACTCACACCAGCAACCTTCTTGTTGTGAGGTGATAGTGCTAACCACTAAGCCACCGTGCACCCATATTTTATTATATTATATATAAATTAGTATGTATTTTACAAAATCAAAGCACACTATTTTAAGAAAAATTTACATTCCAAATTTGAAGTAATTATCTATTGGGTGCAGTACAAAACATCACCCCCAGATGACTTCCAGTCTCTACTGGTGAAAATATAAGGGCCCACCATTTTTGTAATAGTTTGAGCAATTTGAAGTTGAACTATATTTTTTTCATACTTCTCAGTTTTAGAGTAGTATGGGGAGTTCGGTAATATTAAAAAAATAAAATTATTAACCCCAGTTGAAAACCTAGAAAGTGTGTTATAGCTGGTGCTGCATCACTAATAACCTTTTTTCCATAACATTAAAACATGTTTAGAATATTTTTCCTAAAAATAAATTTAATTTTATACCCACGTATATAACTTTCTTTCTTAAGCCGAAGAGAAATTAAGCTTTTGGAGAAAAACATTGCAGGATTTTTCTGCATCACAAATGTACTGGGTTAAACATTCATTTGAAGCTGCCTAAATATGAATTGTGAACCTTAAAAATGGTCTATGTTAGGTCCTGATCAAATACATTTGACAAAAAATTTTATATTTTGCTTCAAAACCTTGATTTCCCTACAGCTGGAGAAATAAAATCTAAATTTTTAATGTCCCGGGCGAGAGTAAATAATCAGGAAAAATTCATTTCTGAACATACAGTAGCTAATTCAACACGTTCATCAACATTGCTCTGTACAAATGATGGTTGCAAAATCTTAAAACGGTGATAAAACACCAAAACCAATTTTTTTGAGATGCTGACAATTATATGTCCCATGTTGCTAAAAACACTATTAGGACCCATATATTTATTTTTTTGCGAAGTTTTGAGCAAATTCGTTCTTCTGGTTTAAAAAGAAATTTTGAAGCAAAGTCAAGGCGATGAGATCATTGTGTAAATTCCAGCGTGGAGATTGGTTGTCTGTACCGGCCTTTATAAAGTGACGTCATTGAGTTTTTAGCACATCAGTTCATTAATTGATGAGAAAGACTTGGTTCGAACCAATCAGCGCGCTCTACAGTGAACGAGGTACAACTTCATTAATATGCATGATATAGAATCAAAGACTCATTTTACCTGTTACAGTGTTCAGAGAGACGTCACGTTGTGTTACCAACTGTAATTTAAACAAATAGTAGAAGAATTGTTTGGAGACCTGGGTCATCAGTGTTGCGTTTATAAATGTGCCACAATGAAGGTTTTGTTTCTATTTCCCCACGATAAGAGCACAGCTCACATGTGGACCCACATGTGTGGATTACAGTGGTCTGCTACTCACAACAAAAAAATGTTTGTAAAAGAAACTTTTATTAAAAAAAGCAGAGGTTCCAGTTCATGAAAGTTAGTTAGTATCGTCAGCGGTACTCTTTCAGTTTTTAAAAACATACCTTAGTCAAAATGATTTAGTTACTAAGCTTACATTAATATCACTACAATATTATGGGCTGAAAATTCTCCACTTCCACACAGCTCTCCTATCCACTAAATGCTGCTCTCTGAATCACTATCTATCTCTCCTGCGTCTGTGTTTCTGCTGCCGCTGTGAAAATCATCTGTAGTGCACGTAACAAAACTCCCCTTTTCCTGCAAACCCTTCCCTGTTTCGCCACTCGAAACTCCAAAAAGCTAGACTCAACAATTTTCTTAGCTTTTCAAACTAGGGGTATGACAACAGCCTGCTGAGACAGGAGGGGTTTCATGGCCCTCTAAAGAAGGTTTTAAATTTACTAGCAGCTATACAATATTTATAATTTCGTTTATTGATATTTTATCTCTTAGATTATTGATATAGGATATATTGGTATACATTTTCATCGCCTCTTACTTCATATCAGTGTCTATTTGTCCCCTATAAGCAAGTCTAATTGTAATATGATGCAAAATGCAAAACTGCACAAACAGTTCTCTTTAAAGTCAAGTCACCTTTCCCTCTGATTGGACATTTCTCAGAACAGTTCACACAGAGAAAGCAAGCATTCCGTATAACTTTATAATGAAATGTGTGCACAAATACCACATTAGTCATGGCATTCAAATGTCTGGTCACTGTCTGAGTGACACACAGAACTAAAGAAGGATCTAAGGTTGGCAAGAAGACAGCAGCGCTTTCTGGCATTGCCTGACTATGCCTGTTCAGTCAACAAGAGGCCAGACTGAGTCGTCTATCTAGATAAAGTCTTGGCTCTAGATGAATTGTTCTATCTCATCAAAGGATGCTGACTTCGCTAGCGTGAGCTCGCTAATCGCTCCAAACTGGACAGATCACTGACTGAATGACCAGTAAATGTGAACTTAAAGGGATAGTTCACCTTCAAATGAACTTTTATTCACCATTTACTCACACTTAAGAAGTTCTAAACTTATAGATTTATTTCTTCTGTTGAACACAATACTAGATATTCTAAGGAATGTTGTTAAAAAAGCAGCCATTTTAGGATCAAAAATATTATGGAAGTCAATGACTGCTGCATTCCAAAATTCTTCAGAAAAGCTGCCTTTGTGTTTACAGAAGAAAGAATCTCAAACAGGTTTGGAACAAGTGGAGGATGAGTAAATGATCACACAGTTTCATTTTTATCGCGAACTATACCTTTAGAATACAACAACAGGGATGGGCAAAATTATATTGAAATGTATTTTAAAAATAAAATACTAAATATCTTAATTTTAGGTGTGTCAAAATTACAAAATACAGCAGGCACAATGTGTATCAAAATACAATATAGTATTTTATATTTTAAAAATACTACAAAATACTTGTATAAAGGAGCATGACATTTCTTTGCAAATCTTCCATCAATTAGACATATTCAATCAATCCCTTCCCCATTAAACTGACAGTAAAGTAAAGTGATAGTGAAGTAAACAATGTTTGATAGCAAATGTGGCCAAATGATAATTATACCTGTTAATATTTTTAAAGGGTGTTAAATTAAGAGTTCTTTTAAATGTGTAGTTCACAGAACATTTCAGTTTTTGGGGGCTATTGAATTCTACAATTCTCAATGTAAAAACTGTATACGAAGTTTTTGATTATTAAATATTTGTGTTGCATATGTTGTGACATCTTAAGGCCTACATCTTTCCTCTTCATGGACTCCAGGACTTATTTTTATGTTGTTTTAACGACAAACATTTGGCATCAGCAATCCATCCAAACCTGCTACTGTATCAGTATACTCTTTCTCCTAAGATTCTTTCAATACGACTTTAAATAGAAGAGTAAATAACATCCAAAGCACCAATCAGAGGGTGGATTTATATGATGTCTTGATGTAGATTTTTCACAAAGTATTTTACAATATTTTTAAAATACAAAAAAAAACAAGACACTGAAGAATTTTGATACAAAATATCAAGCCATTTTCATAAACCTTATCAAATACAAAATTACAAAAAACTATTTTGAATTTAAAAAAATACATATTTGAAATACATGCATCATACATACTGCCCATCCCTGACAACAAGTGAAGACAGATTAAATGCTACATATACATGTACCTGTATACAGAACAAAACACACTATGGAAACCCTTTACTTGAAGGGGTGTTTGAGTGTTCGTGTTCGAGTGTCATGAAACCTTTTTTATTCATGACATGACATGATTTTATGCATGTACTGTGAGTAAGGGTCATTCACTCAGTTATGGTGTCATTTTAGAGGTAAAGATGACATTGTTTGTTATGAAAACATGACAAAAACACAGCCTGTCCTTATCTTTGTCATGACTTGTCATAAATCCACATAAACATGAGAGTCATAAGTAGAGCTGCAACAACGAATGTCTGGCACTGAGCCAGAGAGAGCTCGCTCTGAGCACAGCTCTCAGTAAGGGACCATCGGAAAAGTGCTTCTTTTTTACATTTTTTTCGAAAACAAAACCAACTTAACCCCTGCTGAGAAAGAAGTGTCATATATTTACAATTATGCAGCGTTTTAACCGGCCAATACTTAATTTATGTTTTAGACATGTAAATTGAATCTACTCTTCTCTAAGCTCACCAGCCACTTATTGTATGTATTTGGGGAGTAACTGGTGAATTTACGTGCTGAATCCTGCGTCTTCTGCTTTTGATGAAAGAGGCAAACTTGCGACCGTAAGTAAACATGGCGACGACTAGTTCATGTTACAGATCACGATCACACGTTTATGTAAACTGGTTAAACTTCTGTTTGAGATTATAACTCATTAAGATTTTTTTTTTACTCAATTCACAAAGAATTTAACTTGTTTAAAGCAAACAATCACTTTATTTTGAGTTTTTTTTCTTTTCCTGAAAACAAGAAATTATTTCTTATGCTATTTCATGTGTCTAGTATTTATCTTGATTTAAAAATATTTGGATATTTGGATTGAAAACAGGACAAAACTGCTTAGTTTTTTTTTATTTTATTATTATTAACATTATTGATATTTTAACAGCTCAGGGATGAGCTTTTTTGAATAAACGGTTGGAAATGCTTTTTTAAAAAAATCTGATTTATCGATTAATCGAAAAAACATTCGACAGATTAATTGATTATTAAAGTAATCGTTAGTTGCAGCCCTAGTTATGAGGCAATTAAAATTTTGTCATGCATTTTTCTGATCAATTTTTCAGTGACCAAACTCTGTCTAATTATTTAGGAGCGTCATTAATATTTAATGAAATTTTAATGACAACTTCATCATGTACTACTGTCGTTAGAAAAATACAAAAAGTATATTAATGACACTGTTACAAAATTCATGACATATTTATAATGGCTTCATGGCAATCATTATGACAAGTTTTGTTGTCTTTGTAACATCAAGTCGTCGTGTCAAAGACAAAACATTTGACAATTTTAATTGTCAACATTTTAAGAGAACAAGTTGAGATAAACATAAAACTTAATCTTCAAAGCTGTTTTTTCCTCTTCTATTGTTATTTGAAATATAAAAAGCATATTTATTTATTAAGCATGGTGGCGCAGTCGGTAAAACGTTCGCCTCACAGCAAGAGGGTCGCTGGTTCGGCTAGGTTAGTTGGCTTTTCTTTGTGGAGTTTGCATGTTCTCCCTGTGTTCGCCTGGATTTCCTCCAGGTGCTCCGTTTCCTCCACAGTCCAAAGACATGCGGTAAAGGTGAATTGGGTAGGCTAAATTGTCCATAGTGTATGTGTGTAAATAAGTGTGTGTGGATGTTTCCCTGTGATGGGTTGTGGCTGCAAGGGCAACCACTGCGTAAAACATATGTTGGATAAATTGGTGGTTCATTCCGCTGTGCAACCCCAGATTAATAAAGGGACTAAGCCGAAAAGAAAATGAACGAATGAATGAATGAATGAATAAATAAAGCTAGTGCTGTTGGTATATATACTATATATATAAATGTGTTATAAACTTTGCTGCTTCAAAAAATGTTTGTGCCAGTGTTTGGTGCACACCAGCTGCTTTCCTAACACACATCTGATTTTGTACAGATTATATTTTGCAAACATTTAATGATTTTGCTCTGTCAGAAACATTGGATAATTCAGGAGATTCATGCTGCTCATTTCCTCCATGTAATTGATATATATTGCCAATATGAAAGCCATTGATATTTATTGCCAAATGCCAATAGATTCACGTAAATACAATATTGGCTGATACCAGTGCCTGATACATCAGTGCATAAATACAACAAAGGAAACGTATTTATGTATCTTGTTCATCAGCACAAAGACTTCTGGGGAGTTATAAATCATCAGACTGAGGTCTTTGGTGATGGTGAGCCACATTCACATATTAAACTGAAACAGCGGAGGGCAGTTTTGATCACGTCTTGTCTTCAAACACAAAAGTGAAAACATTAATGTCTTTGGACTACTGTGTTATTGTGGTAGAGCTGCCCTACAGTGAATCATATACTTCAACACTGACATTTCTATTGAACTGAACTGAATCATCACTAAACAAACCAGAACAATAGCAGCGTTCTGCTCATCAGTGTGCCTGATGTATTGAACTTGCTTCACTAAGATGAAACTTCCTCCCTGATTTCATATTATTGCTATAAACAGACACAATCTCCATTGAATAAAGTACTATAGAAATTAAATAACTTCACTTGACTGAGCTGTTGGTGTTTGATTTGATGGTCATTGTCAATGAAGCCACCCTGCAGGCCTGTGCCTCAAAACTACTGACACTGGCAAAATTTCATCTGAGGCGAAACTTTACTGCAACAGTCATCAATCACTATAAAAAAGACTTTAGAGTCTTTTTTATAAAAAGACTATTAAAAAAAACTATAAAAAAAAAGACTTTTTAAAGATTTAAAGTGCTTTTAAATGTGTATTTTTGTTCAATGTGTGATGAAATTTGAACTGAATCCTGAAGACAGTGTGGGACATATAGCAGCTCCTCGTTCTGTTTAAAAAACAGCTAATAGTGATATGTTTGATCACAGCTCTGCCAGTAAGAGTAGATGAGCTCAAGCCAATATAGCAATCTGCTTGTTAAAGGGCCATGACACCCCCCACTTTCTGTTAAAGTCTACTTCAGAATTTTTTCAAAAGATGCATGAATAATGGGCGTGGAGCTCTGCGAGCATCGGGCAGGATTGGGCGTGGCCAGCAGGGGAGAACGTGAGCGAACAACTGTTGTTGTCAGTTAGCTCACAAAATGAGACAAACAGTGAGGAGACGCATGAGTTTATAGTCTACAAAGTTAAAATGCAAAGAAATGAACAGTAATTTAAATGCTACATTTGTTATTCGTAATTTCATATACAGACAACCACACTTTATATCATTATAAAGATGTGTGTTCATGTAAACACTATAAATGAGGACTTCTCCCTCAATCCCCGTATCCAGCAGACTCAGTGCAGCAGGTCTCCTGACCTGTCTATTTTAACCATTAGCCCTGCTGGTAATCTGGAGGATTTAGGCAAACACAGCAGCACAGTGATGTGTCTGAATGTGAACAAACTCCTGATAAAAGACAGCGTGCGCCATTCTCTAATTCTCGTGCTGCTCTTCCGACAAAAATGCTAGCAGCACACACACAGCTTTGCTGTATGATCGGCCCTGACAAGATCGCGGGGAAAAACATGCAACAAACCCCGTGGATCATGGAAACAAACGCATATGAGCCTTCATGAATGGCTAAATACTGTGCCGTGGTTTCCGTGTCTCTCAGCTCGGGCTTGACACTGGCAGGTCTGGCAGGTCTCATGAATAATTAAGGAGCCGGCTCTTCTCATAGGATAAGAAAACTCCGCTATGAATAATAATGAGAAACCGACGTGTCATCATTGCACTTGCAGTACTGCGCTACGTCGCCGATTTTGATCCCGCCCCAAAAATCATTTTAAACCCGGAAGCTGAAATTAGCTGACAAAAGCTCAAAATTATCCAGTTTTCCCCACAATTAAAGTTGACAGGTGCTAACATTGTCTTAATTGGAGCTCAACACACAAACATCTGTTAATATAAAAAAAAGTTCTCCGGGGTGTCCTGAACCTTTTACTATAGTATAATGAAATATGGCTCCAAGCCGCTACTCATTTGAATTAAGAAAATATTCGTTTATGACCACTTTTTAGGCGGATCACACATTAAAGTGAATTTTATATACGATTATGGTGTACACAACCGTCTCTAGACTTGCCGCATCACAGACATCAATATTTTAACAACTTATAAAAAGTGAATCACTTTCTGGCCATCGAATATTAGGCAAGGATGTATATTTTACTATTGTGATTTTCAAAAGTATTACATCACTTTGCAAACGTTTATTACCATTTGTTTTGTCTCCCCATACATTTTGACAGAGCACTTGTAGCTGAAAGCTGCTTCGCGTGACTTCACACTTAACGAGCGGATAGTGCCTTGAAGTGTGCAGGGCATGTCAAATACTAGAAAGCATTTGATTGGTCAGAAGATTTGATGAGAAATTGAAGAATGAGATGATGTCAAAAAATGATCTATTTAGGTTAAGTTCCCCATCTAGGGAACTTCAACATTGCTTCTAACCAGAACTTCTGCGCTGGGGGAACACCACTTTTATATGCGTATTTATGCACATGTAAAATCAATTTAATTAAAAGAAGCAATGACGTCACCACATGCGTGCACGCAGCGACGTGAACGTCAGACCAATTTAAATTAGCTTGAAAGGAGTAACAGGCAGAAGAAAGTATGGCGGAAGACACAGTGTCTCGTTCTCTCTCGGGGAACTATGGTTACATTCGTAACCAGAGATGTTTTGTATGTTTATATCTTCTTAATGCGAATGTTATTAGTGTTTTGGAGCACACTAGTTTATAGATATCCTTAAGACTAACACACTGATACTAGCTTTATTTGGATTTCACTTGGACAAAGTGACCAAATCTTCTCCTGAAGAAACATCCACCATCCTGCAGAATTTAGGTACAGCCAGAATTCAGCAGACCTGAACAAGCTAATCGAGGTCTTCAAGATTCTAAAAAACTTCCAGGCAAGTATGTTTGGTGCAAGCTGGAGTTGAACTCTGCAGGATGTTTTAGACTCAGACTAGCACTATTGCACAGTGCCATCAAATGATATGGATTTAGTGCAACACTTCCTACCTATAAGTGGAGGCTCCTCCATGTTGATGCCTTGTGTCCGCAGGTGTCTCCTGATGCAGGCCAGCCGCTGTACATTGGGGCCCCAGCGTCTGCCCAGCTTGTGCACATGCTGCACGTATGAGACAAAGCGCATCTCCTCTTTAAGCTTACACTCGGGACGCCAGCCTGCTGGCGGAACAACCCGGAACAACCCAAACGCCTCGGCCTGCCCCCGTGCCAACTCCATAAAAGTCAACGGGTCATGAAACTCATGTGTGTTGGGATAAAAGACGGGCAGCTCCGTGATCTCGGCACTGCGCCGGCCTCGCTCCTTGGGCTCAGATGAGAAGGGCTCAGTCATATTTGAAGGATGGCCTTGTTTTAGAGCATTGCTTGTTCTGGGGGTCTCTGATAGTTTGGGGGAGTTGGCTGGTCTCAGAATGTCTCGTGTTGAGGTAGTGGGGCTGTTCTTGGCCAGAACGCTGGCTTTGCAGTGCATCTGTTTAGTGAACATGAGCTTCCCGGCCGATGCCCGTTTGGGCCGCTGTGATCCCGCCGGTTGCGGTCTGGCCTGCGTCTCCTGAGCTGCTTTCCTACTGCGGGTCTCCAAAGGAACCACGTGCACCTTGACCCTCTTCACCTCGACCTCTGCTCCGGCTAACTCCAGCTGCCTCTTTGACTGCCGAAGTCCGTTTCGTCTCGGGGGGAAAGTGTCTGTCCCACTGAGCCGTCCAGCGGTTGCTGGTGATAGCACCTGTTTTTGCATCTTGGCGTGGCTGGTTTGGGCTTTTCCTGAGTTGGAGGTCTGAGAGTGTGTGTGTGTGTGTGTGCTCAGGCTGAGCTTGGCCTCTTTGAGCAGTCTGGCTTTGGTGTACGTCACGTGGCCCTTGGGGTATTTCACAGCTTTGGTCGGGGGAGTTCGCAGTTCTCTCGTCTTTCGAGAACTGACGGCGGAGGCTCCCGATGTCCCGTTCATTTTGGAGGCCTAAGGGATGACAGAAAAGCTTCTTTTTAGTTCACTCACACACACAACAGTAAACATGTATATAAAACACATACTTCAAGCTGTTGTGTGTCATTTTTTACTTTTATCTAATTCAGGGCTGTTATGGAGTGCTGCTGTTAAAACCCAAAGACCAATTCCCTACTGATTCCCTCATTTTCTTTCATTTTTTTGGACTAAAATATGATAAATATTTGATGTTTTGCACTACATCATACACTGGACACATTTTATATCCTAAATGTTCTTATCTACGTATTTATTAAAAAACATGCATTTTCTACAAATTCGTTTTTTGTTTCGACAATTTGACTTCAAAATTAGAAAACCACTGGTTAATTTGTTTTGGCACCATGGCTGCAGAACCCTTTATGGGTGATAAGAAAAAAAATTCATTACTTGACATAAGAACTGAAATAAATAAAAGGCCACATTTCTCAATTCAATTTAGCATAATTGTTATATTAAAATAGATCAAATGTAAAATAAAAATAAAATAAAATAAAAAACAAAGTGCTTGGCATAACTGAGTACACCCCATTTTGAAAATTAATATTTTTCTCCATTTCTTAGTGAATATAGGCAATGCATTTTGTTGCATTTAAACAAAAACATTTATTAAACAGATATATTTATTACAATAATATTTGAATCACCAAACATATTTAAAAATTGAAAGATAATACAATTAAATTCAAGCAAAATATTGCAAAAAAAAATTACAACTTAAAAATTTTCAACAACATTTTTACAGATTTTTGCTTCTCTTGATTTTACCTCTTTTTAAAATTTATGTTTCATATTTTCCTATAACATATAAATTTGGGTGTTCTAGTTTTTGGCCTGTTATCACAAGTTATTTTTGTTAGATAAGCTCCAGATTTGGCTTCAGTATTGACTAATCTAATGTATTTGCACAAATATTGTACAGCTTCTTATTAAAAATATGAATTTAAAAGATAGATTTGTAAAGGGGTGTACTTCTATACGCTGAGCACTGTGTATATAACCCAATTCAATATTAATTAAAATTAAATAGGTATTTACCAAAACAAAACACCAAAACAAAAATTATATAATTTAAAATGTGGAAAGTTCGTAGAAAATGCACTTTTTGTATTCATATTGGTTTCATGTGATGAAAAATTGTAGGATTAAAAAAAAACATGTTTAAATTTTACTTTAATAACCACCATGTTCTTTAAAAGTAAGAATATACTTCCCTTGCATCTTAATATTTTTCTTTAGTAAAATAACAAAAAGAAAAAACACTTTTGAAATAAAATATTAATAAAAAATGGGAGCTACTAAACTACTTCAGCACAGAGGAAGTGTAAGTAATTACTGTAAAAGAACTGCAACCCACAAACTCCACAAAAATGTGTGTCATGATTTGTTCAGGATGGTGTCAAGCGCATAAACTACACTGCATTCCCTCCCAACCGAAAACATCATCGCTGTGTTGATAGTATCATATCAGCAGAACATGAATTACAGCCAAAACCTGAGAAGGCTGTTGTACAAGCATGCATCACTTCCTCAAATTCAACTATGTCCTCTTAGGAAGACTGTCCTGTTCCACTAGGGGGCTCAATGGAGCCGTTATTTCATTCTTGGAGGAACTCATGCACGTGACCCTGGCCATGTACTATGAATCCTCCATCTGCATGCGGTGGGGGATGGGAGGCGATTCATTTGTCTCCAAAAGCAAAGTTGCTGACAGAAAGCACAACAGTTCCACCAATAGCCCAGCACGCGGAGGCCCAGTCGGTGTTTACTGAAGCCGGTCAGAAAGCCGGTCGGTGTGTGGCACTTCCACACTCCACTGCTTTGGGCTGTGAGAGGGGGGTTGGTGGAGGACAGATGACATCATGTGTTGCTATAGGCCTGATGCAGGAGAGAGTCGGGACGGGTAAAGCTGCTCTAACAGCCCAAAGGACTCTCTGGCAGGAGGGGAGGAAATTTTGACGAACACTCAGCAATGGGTCTATAAAGTCTGCTGTTTCCTCAGTGTTCAGTAACGGTTGAGTTAGCAAAGGTAAATGACGAGATGTGCTTTGGGATGTAGCGCTGTAATGGTGTGTAAAAACAGGACATTGTGTTTTTGATAGACTGTTATGTGCTGTGTGTTATTGAAAACTGTTTATTTTACATAAGAAATTGTGAGCACCTAACAAGGGGCATCTGTGATCAATTCTGTTTTATCTTTATAGGACAAAAATTGTTTCAGATGTACAATTAATAATGTAGCAAACTCTTTTATCCAAAGCGACTTACAAACAAGGACAAAAGAAGCTCTTTATTGTTGTATCAAACATTGAAAGTACACTAATCACAATAATTCATATTACATTTATACCATGATTTACACTCAAATGTTATTCAGCGTATTAACAGTAATATAATAAATGTAACAAAGAAAAAAGCACAAAATCTATCCAGGCTTATTTAAAAAAGGAACGATTGAAGGTATATTAAAAGGCTAAATGTAGGATTTTTTTGCAATTTTAAATAGTTTTATTCTTTGCCACTATCATTCAAATCACTGGGATTTACTTGTTAGTCAACAAGATACTTTTAAGCATTTAAAATACACTAACCGGCCACTTTATTAGGTACCTTACTAGTACCTGGTTGGACCCACTTTTGCCTTCAGAACTGCCTTAATCTGGCATAGATTCAACAAGGTACTGGAAATATTCCTCAGAAATTTTGGTCCATATTGACGACAGCATCACGCAGTTGCTGCAGATTTGTCAGCTGCACATCCATGATGCGAATCTCCCGTTCCACCATATCCCAAAGGTGCTCTATTGGATTGAAGTTTGGTGACTTTGGAGGCCATTTGAGTACAGTGAACTCATTGTCATGTTCAAGAAACCAGTCTGATATGATTCGCAGCAGCCTGAACCGTTGATACAAGGCAGGATGGATCTATGCTTTCATGCTGTTGACGCCAAATTCTGACCCTACCATCCGAATGTCTCAGCAGAAACCGAGACTCATCAGACCAGGAAACGTTCTTTCAATCTTTTATTGTCTAATTTTGGTGAGCTTGGCCGAATTGTCACCTCTGTTTCCTATTCTTAGCTGTCTTCTGCTGCTGTAGCCCATCCGCCTCCAGGTTCGACATGTTGTGCGTTCAGAGATGCTCTTCTGTATACCTCGGTTGTAAAAAGTGTTTATTTGAGTTACTGTTTCTTTCTATCAGCTCAAACCAGTCTGGCCATTCTCCTCTGACCTCTGGCATCAACAAGACATTTGCGCCCACAGAACTGCCACAGACTGGATATTTTCTCTTTTTCAGACCCTTATCTTCAAACCCTAGAGATGGGTGTGCACGAAAATCCCAGTAGATCAGCAGTTTCTGAAATACTCAGATCAGCCCTTCTGGCACCAACAACCATTCCACGTTCAAAGTCACTTAAATCACCTTTCTACCCCATTCTGACGCTCGGTTTGAAGTGCAGCTGATCGTCTTGACCATGTCTACATGCCTAAATGCATTGAGTTGCTGCCATGTGATTGGCTGATTAGAAATTTGCATTAACGAGAAGGATAAATTTTAAATAAACACAGACTTTATTTCACATCTATTTTAATATTTTAGGTTTTTGTTTATTTGAAGTAGACACCTAATATGCATTAGTATAATTTAATTAATTATAAATAATATATTTTTTCTATTTTTGAAAAGACTTTACCCCCTAAGTCTGCAGCTAACAAATGCCATTTCTAAATCCAATATATATATATACAGCGCCATCATGGATGAGCAAATTCAATTTTACGTTCATCAGGGACTCAGTAAAGCTGAAACAGCACAATGACAGACCATTTCCACATCACGACCCTACGCCTGGGAAGGAAGTAACAACTTTATAGACGCAGTCACTATAGTCAATCTGAACATGTGGTCAGTTTCGCCGCTAGCCAGCTCGAGGGACGACTGAATGATTTTAGACAGATGCTGAAGAAAGGCTTTGCGGTTGACCACAGAAATTTTGAGTCATATTTCTTTTTGTCACGAAATAAGGTCAAAATTATGCATAAAGTATTTTTGTTATGTTGAGATCAGAAGTGGGTCACTATCCAAGAACTGTACTTAAGTAAAGGAGTAAGTTCTTACAGAAACCATTAGTCAAGTAAAGTTATTAGAAGATAAGATATGGGATGGGAAAAACTACTGAAACCAAAAACACAGAAAACACTGCCTCCTCGATACAAATATAATTGTATAAAAACAAAATTGCATTATTTGAACAGACAAAAATGATGTGAATATGCAGAAGTTTGTATTAAAAAAATTATGAGAGGAATGTTGCTCAGGGTAAAAAGCAAAAGTTTTGGCATTAAAAACATACTCAAGCACCATGGAATCTAGTCTTAAAAACACGTACAGTATTTTTTAAAAATGTACTCAGGTAAATTCAATGGACTACATGTAGCTTGTTACTACTAAACACTGGTTCATACTAAACAAAACATTAGGGTTGTTCTGGTTCTGATACTACTATCGGAGATGTCACCAATACCACAACAATGTTTGGCATTAGTATCAGCAAGTACCCTTAAACTAATATATTACTATTTTTTTAAACAACACATAGTTATGCCTGCTGTCCATTAGCTAACAGACAAATAATTGAGTTTTGTGTGACCAGTATAAGTTACTGTTGCACTTTTTTGTACTTTTGTATTAAAAACTGAAACGCTTTTATTTTACAAATTGGGTTATCATTTTAAAGAGATCAATTTCTTGTATTTTTCAAATAGAAGTTATTATATTCCTACATCACTGTCCAACACAACCTAAAATCAACCAAATACCAACGTAATTTGATGTTGTTACTGGGCGTCAAAATAAAGTTGTCCTTAGACGCTGGCTAGACATTGAATTTTGGTCACCTGACATCATGACCTACATCTAACCTAATATTAAAATGACTTACAATGTTGTGTGCCTGTGGTGGTATCTTAGATAGTAAAAAGTACTGTAGTTTACTGTAGAAGCAAATCATAAAAAAGTCAGAAGCACACCATAATATAAAATAATTCAGATAATTCATACAGGACTAGTTGAATTTACTGTACAGCTGTAAATACAGATATACAGGACCAGGTATCAGATCAGTAGCAGGTATCAGTACCAAGTATCGGAATCAGGAAGGAAAAAAAGAGTATCGAAATAAAAACATCTTTATAAAATGTTTCTACAAAAAAATGAAAAAAACAAAAACTAAAAATAAAATAAACACTACAACCAAATCAATTCAAACAAAAACACACTAAAACACAGAATGAAAATAAATACACCAAAACAAATGTCTAAGAAAACAAAAGGTAGAGAAATATTTACTTATTTATGAAGTTTATGAAATAACAATTTTTTAGAGCTGGGCAAAACATTTATTGTGATTAATCCCATTTAAAATAAAAGTTTATATTGACATAATATACAGTATGTGTGTGTACTCTGTATATTTATTACGTATATCTAAACATGCACATATTTGAGAAAATGCTTATTTATATTAAGATATATATGTTTATTATACTAATTATATATACATAAATATCTATGCAAAAAAGGTTTTGTATAGTTTTGTTTTATGTATTTTTGTTTATTACATGTAGATCATAAATACATACATACATATATATATATATATATATATATATATATATATATATATATATAATAGACACACACATCTTTTGTCAATACAAACTTTTATTTTGGATGTGATTAATCACGATTAAACATTGCCCAACACTACTATTTATACATATTTTTTTGTTTTTGAGAGTAAAACAAAAAAGAAGTTCAATTTGAGCTGGAAATTTGCCAGATGCTGATTATCCAATCTGCAGTTGATTACATTAACTCCTTTTCTAGTGTAAAAAAAGGTGTAGATTTTGAGAAGAAAACTGTTTTTGAGACCACAATAAAATCCAACTGATGTATGTAATATCTATACAGAAAATGCGAAATAAAATAAAATAAAACCCTACCTGTTGTTTTTGTTCTTGCACTGCTCTGTTGGGTCGTAGATTGTGTGTAGTGGAGCTTCTAGCTGATGCTACAGGGTGTTTCTCCTTCCCGTCTTTCCCTCTGGCTCTCAGACTGCTCTCGCGCACCTCAGCAGCTCGTGTCTGTCCATTAAACACTGAAAGAGGAGAGAAAAACAGATCTGACATTCAGTATGATTTGGTAGTGTATGTGCTAGAGCTGAACAACATTAGAAAAAAAACTGACATTGTGATATTTTGTTTATTCTACAATATATATATTTATTTCGATACACTAAAAATTGAACCACTATGAGGTTTATTGTTACTGTTTGTAACCTTTTGATTTTAATTCATTTGTCCGTTTTTTTTACTGAATGTGGTCAGATTTCTTAGAATCAGTTTAAACCTGGTAAAATCGAATACTATTAGATTTAATCAGTTAAAAAACACGAATATGATATTTTTGACTGTTTTCTGGTGAGTTTAACAGGATTCAGGTACAGAAAGTCAATAAAATGCTTTTTTTGTTCATTTGATTACAAGTGGCATTAAATACAGTTATGAAAAATTCTAAATGTTTTGCACCGATTTCAGTCACACACAGGTAATCAAAAACACAAATGAGTGGATTGCTTTAACAGTGTAAATGCTAATGTGGTCAATTGTGTACAAAACAGACACAAAATACCAGCTTCACTCTTTCGACCTCATTCTTGAAAACTACAGAACAGATTGTTGAAGTGCACTGGACAGATGGGGTTTAAACTGTCCAATTAAAAAAAAATAAAAAATTATATATATATCAAATAAATGTTCCTTTAGCAGTCACAAACATTAGAGCATGCATGAAACCATTGTTTTTTAGGATCATTTTCTGTTCTCAGGCAATATAAAAAAACCTCTGGCTTCATAAATACCAGAATAATAAATGCAGCCTTAATAACATCTCTAAATGGGGTCACTGGTGTGGAGAAAACTAAATGAATGATTGAGCAAGTAAAAATCCAATGGTTAAATCATTGAAAATTTACAGCTACATATTTACCTTCTCTCTGAAAAAATTAATCAGTAAAAAAATCAGTATTTGACTATAAATGTTATTTTTCTAATTTTTTTGTATTTTTTTATTCTTAAGTACTCTAAATACTCTCTAGAATAAATTAATGTTTTTATCCATAAGTATAACTGATGTATTTAATTACAAAGTTCTAAAATACTTAAATGAGTTTAAATGTATATATAAATGTTAATTCACTCTATTAGAGTATACTCTATTTATTAGTAGTATACTTCAGTGGTTCTCAAACTTTTTTCACCAAGTTCACCTCAGAAAAAAATTGTCTCTCCAAGTACCACCATAATGACAGGTTTTAAAATACTGTAGTGTAGCATGCCTAATTAAGCAGCTGCAGCTCTGCACAGTTCAAAAACCAGGCAGATTAATTCCTGTTATAAAGAATATTTATTATTTTCACCACTTTAAACATTATAAATGATTTAAACATTAACTGTGCTTACAGGTAAAAAAAAAATTAAATGTGCTTCTAAAAATTAACTAAAAGTTGTACTGTATATAAAAAAGTAAAAAGAAAATGATCTACTTAAGTGTAAAGTATTAATATACAGTAGCCTATTCATCACAACCTGGAAATGTTCCTTGGACCTAATAAATATAGGCTAAATGTCATCATATTTATATAAAAATCTTTTTGATATTTTTTTAAATAGATGTTGCATGTTTTTATGACATATTTGTATATCTCTGAAATCTAAACATTAACTTGTATTTTTAAATATATGATTTGAACTTACATGTTTAAGTTAGATCTGCTTACTGTGCATTAGAGTAGGCTTTGTGTGCCAGAAAAGCAAGTCATTAAACCATAACTGTCAACATTGGCATGCAAAAATATGGAATATGCTCCGCTACAAATATGGTGAGGAGATTAGCTTCAAATGATAGAATACATAAAAAACATTAGAAAATTGAAAAATAAAATAAAAGGTTTAGCCTATTACAATCAATTTTCTGATCACATCGATGTTATTGCATGCGTCAAAGGGTTAAAAGTGTGTTAATTTTTTTTTACTTTAATTATTCATCAATTGGATGATTTTGTGCCTGTATACTGTGCGTGACAGTGCTTGATGGTCATATGCATTGAATTGACTGATAGTTTCCCTTCATGGTTACCAAAACCAGGTGATTTGGTTCTGTAGTGGAAAACGAGGCCAGTTTTGAGGCTTTCAGCTGAATGCTCCTGCTGTCTCTGACCACTCTGCTTTCCACTTTCTGTGCACTTGACTTGTAAATTACTCTTATAAAAGAAGACTGCCAAGCTACTAACAGAGTCTGCATAGAGGCCTGAATTTATGGGATTTTAAAGCTCAAACACTGTAACAGCAAAGCTGCTTATAGCCCTCAAACTAACATCAATAAATCACCAAAACAGTAACACAATTGCCACTAAAAGCGCCCACTTTTTTAGAAACAGCCGTGTTGTTTAAGACCTAAAGTTTTGATTCTGACTGTAAGAACAACTTAATATCGCATGAAAAATGTAGTCTAACAGATTTTCATTCTTCCCAAGAGCCACCCACATCGCAGTTGGACAAAAGCAGCAAAGATTTAGAAGTTTTGAGCCTCCATTAACTAAACAGATGGTGAACAGAGAGTCCAATGTTAACACTAAACAAGTATTGAAATGCTCTTTGGGTCACTTTGCTAAATGAACGCTTCTAGAGGGACCAACTTATCGCTCAAACAGTCTGGAGCTCGGCCAACGGCGCACATAAAAGTGTCATATTTAGCGTGTGGTCTCGTACAGTATGTAAGACGACGTGGCTCTAGTTTCGCTGTAATGTACGGATGCTCAACATGACTCCTTATTTCATTGCGGAGCACACAGAGTTGCCTCTCAACGCAATATCACACATACAGTCAATCCAAAATTAATTCAGACACTAAATATCCTTTTTTAAAATATATTTTTTTATATACTTTTTGTATGTACGTGAGTATAGCTGAATAAACTGAAATATTATATCTCAAATTTTGCAGAAACTGAACAGTCACTGCATGTTTCGCTAGAATGTGATTGACAGCAGCACGGGAGACTACAGGCAGCGCTGTAAAAAGTGATTAGTTGACCACTGCCTTAGTTATTAAACAAACTATCTGCATGATTATAAAAGTTAAGTCAATGGGTTTACTGATTTATTTACTGATTTATCAAATTGTTGCTTTTAAGTCAATCACTTTTCTGAAGTAGAGTAACTAATCGCTTTTTTGAGTGTGTTATTGAGGCCTGACAAAGTATTGATAGTTGTGTAAATATTGTCATTAATATTTTTGTTTGACTGTACTCCATTACATACTGCATCCTTCAATCAGAATATCTGACATTGATCATTTGTTCTGACAAAGTTCAACTCTTGAGTTCTAGTGCTATTTTATTACCATTTTAGAAACTATAGTGCATAAACTGTGTAATAAACTGACATGTTGAATGAGTCTGATTAGGTTTAGCTTTGGCTGTACAGACTGAATTGAAAATTGAAATGATGCTGTCAATTGGCAATTAGGTCAGACACGGGGCTAACTAATTAGGGCAATGAGATACAGATACAATGTTGCTGACCATTCTCAATAATAAAGTAGCCAAGCAACTATGCTCTTCATTATTATCAATATTACTCAAAAAGTTAATCAACAGCATCACAATATTAAATAAACGTATTATTAATGTTTTTTTAAGTGCCCATAATATCAATATTACTCATTATCATGTTGTATAGTATTACTGAATATCGCCATGCCTAAAGTGTACCTCATTTCAGTGCATAAGTGTCATCTTTTTATGACAAAGCAGGGTTTCTACAGGTTTCAGCAATTTTAAGACTTTTTAAAACCATTATGAATGAAATTTTATCCAATCTAAGTTAATTTTATAGTTGAACAAATTTATGAATACAATAAAAATAATTTAATAATAAAAAATTTAATAATTTATTTAATTCTATTCATGCTTCAAACTGACACCCAGAGTAGAAGCATTTTCGACGGCCAGGTCAGCTTCCTAGGATAACTTATAAACATACAGTATGTTATTGTAAGAAAAATAATTAAACCATTATTATGAATAGAATTAATAAAAGTTTTATTATTTATTTCGTATGGGTGTTGGCCAGATTTGGTAGCTAAACATAAACAAAAAGTAAACTAAAACCTGTTTTAAAAAGATTTAAGACACAACACAATATTTCAGTCAATTTAAAAAAAATTTTAAGGCCTCAAATTTGGTTTTTGAGATTTAAGACATTTTAAGACTTTCCAAGGCCCTGTGGATACCCTGCAAATTATTTAAAATTGATATCCCTTCTGTAAAACTTTAATTCTTTGAAAAATATCAAGTGTGCCTTTAGGGTGGGAATTTGTTTTTTCAGACCTTTAACAGTTTATTACATTTATTATTATTAAGATACTATGTGGCTTAAAGTGCAATTGAAAAACTTAACTAGGTTATTATATTAACTAGACAAATTAGAATCAGGTAAGTTATTGGACAAAAATGTTTTTTTCTGTGGACAATCTGTAGGGATTTTCGTAAAAAATAAAAATTTTTAATAATAAGTTTGATCTTAAAACTGTTTATTCCAGCCAAAAAAAAAAAAAAGACTTTAGCCAGAAGAAAAAAAAACACTGTAAAAACACTGCAAAAATGCTTTTCTTAAATAATTTTATCACAAATCGAAAAACAAGATTATTTAGCTTATCCCATTGGCAGATTATTTTGCTTGATTTAAGAAAAAACTCACTTAATTTTGGCCTATTATTTCTTAAAACAAGACAATATGTTTTTTTTTTTTTTTGTCTAGAAAATGCTTCTTGATTTAAGAACTTTTAGATATTTGGACTAGAAACAAGACAAAAAAAAGCATTTTTTTTGCAGTGAATATCCTCACTCTGTTAAATATCACTTCAAAAATAACTGGAAAGAAAAGAAATTTAATAATAATAATATTAATTTAATTTTGACATCTACTGGATATTTATTGCAATCCTCCTACTGTTGCTTTGTATTTTATGATTATATTATGTATTTATAGTAATATGATTGATTGTTATTATGCTTAATGTGTTTAGTTTTCTCCTTCACCCTGAATGTATCTAAAAACATATTTCAAAACTGGATTCTGTGAGCCAAGGATGGCATGAATTTAAGAGAAATGTAAAATGCCTGAAAGCTGTTGCCAGTTTTGGAAATTAATGTCATGCTTCTCCTGGAGGTTGAATGTGACCTGAAGCCCCAGTGATGTGTGTGCCGGCTGTGTGTTTTGTGGACCCTCAGACGTGTGCTGAGTGTGTTGGGTTACTGGTGTTTCAGGTTACACTGCAGATTTTGCTGAGTGGGCAACAGGGTCCGGTTACAAATCCAGAGTCGAAAAAAAACGGGGCAAGAATGCAAAAGACGAGGACGAAGTGGCATTCAGCACTTTATTAAATGGATTCTCAGCTAAATTCAGCTTGGCCTGCTTTCATCTGTTTTCTATAATTAGGATGTGAATCTCAGGAGAAAGAGGAAAACAAGCACAGTGATCAGTGAAGTCATTAATAAGCAGACACAGCATATTTAATGTGAAAAATATTAATTATACAGATAAATAAAGCTAAAATAATTACATGAATCCGTAATATAGCACATTATTATAATATAACAACAACCTATCTTTTAACAAACATAAACATTTATTTGTAAGCAAATATTAAAGAAAAAACCAAATAAATAGTTCTTTCTTTATTTACACACTAACTTTCAAATGTTGTTATTATTTATTATCAAATGTGTAATAATATCATGTCATTTCAAATCACAATTCATGCTTCAAATAATTTTCCTTCGGCTTAGTGCCTTATTTATCAGGGGTCGCCACAGCGGAATAAACTGCCAACTTATCCAGCATATGTTTTATGCAGAGGATGCCCTTCCAGCCGCAGCCTAATACTGGGAAACACCCATACACTCTCGCATTCACACACTCGTACACTAATAATTTAATAACCATTTAATAATGAACCTATTACAGTAAAAACAAAACTATCTAATTTATAACAGAATTACACAAGTTTTTGCCTTGATTTGCTTACTGATGTCCTCTGCAAAGTCCTTTATGTGTAACAGTATTGAAAAAAGCAGATTATTTACCAAATTTACTTGAAACATTTCAGTTTGCTTTTTTGTAGCTAAAAAGGTTACGTCAAATTAGAAATGATGTTGTTAAAGGCAATCGCCCCAACCCTTTCCATCAATCTTAGGGTGCTTTCACACTGGTCCGCACCCGAGTTTGTTTGACGTCAGAGTTAAGTACGTTTAGCTAATAAGAACGTGTCTTCTGAACTCGGGTGCTCACCCATAAACCATACCCGAGTCCGCCTGAAAAAGGGGGTCTAGGGTACAGTTTGCGTGAACTCAGGTTTACTTCTGGTATAAATGCAACCGCACCAAATAACCGAAGTGAACCGCCAACTGTACAACAAACTACTGTTTTCATAATGTTCATCACATACGTTAATGTACCTTGGTGACAATCGGGACTGAGCCAGGGCAAACACAGTGATAATGTCTACCTGTCTCCTCCAAAAACAACTTCTGCAGAGAGATGTTGACAGACGTGTGATGTTCTGAACGTTTTAAATTTCTTTGCAGCAGACATATACGAGTCGCTTTTTGTTTGTCCAAGAGCAAAAGATTCAATAAAAGCAGAACGACCGCGATGTGCGAAATGTGGACGCCTTTCCATTTTGGTGCTTTGCTTTTGTGGCCGTCACCTAGCAACAGCAGCTCAATGACGCAAGCGTACCGAGGTTCAGAAGGAAAAAAGACAGTGTGAACACAAACCAACCGAGAAAGTGGCAAGGGAGGACAATCGAACTTGGGTTTGGTCTAGGCAATAGAACCAAGTGTGAAAATACCATTTCTCTCCTCTCAGATGGGATGGTGGGCCAAATCAAAGGTTACAATGGGCCAACTTTGGTCTGCGGGCCCTACTTTGGGCATCTCTAATCTAGAGTAAGTGTCCATTTTTGGAAATACTCACATGAAATACAATTCTGTGAGTTTTTTTAATATCAGCGTTTACTTTAATGGATGCAGCAAATGTTGAAATAATAAATATGTTGAACAAGATAAATGATATATGCCTATTTTTAAGATAGTAGAGTGATTAATCCATTTTTTAAAACTCTAATCTATTGACAGCCACACTGCAACTTTTGGATGTGAGCCCACAATGAATGCCTTGTGTTATATGGACGGTGCAGCACAAATGTATCTGACAGTGAAGGCTGTATATAGTCACGACTCATTAACTGTATGGTGTGGAAAAAGGCAGGATCATAACTCACCTCACCGGAGGCCTTAAATGGAACCAAATGTCCAGCCTGTCTGCTACTGGCAGCGCAATAATACACTACTACACACACTACATATTAAAATTGATTGTAAAGGGCTATTTTAAGGGTAAATGGATAATAAAATGCAAAGCTAGATCAGTTTGTAAGAGTAATTGTGCATGTTTGTAAATATTCTGCTGGTGTGGTGAAGTACCATGACCGTTGGCGATGCATTTGTTGGGTCCTTTGCTCTTGCGTGGAGTGGACTGGCAGGAAGCAGGGGCGTGGCTGGCACTTTCTTCTTCCTCTTCCTCATCCTCTTCCTCATCCACATCTTCATCATCTTTAGCGCTACCAAAGTATGTCATGTTGCTGGGCAGCGCAGAAGAGCCTGAGCCAATGAGAAACGGGGTAAAGGCAGAGTGAACAAGTGTCATGCAGAGAGAGAGAGAAGAGTGTGAAACACAGTGGTGAGTAAATCAGATTTTGATATGATTTAGTCTTCATATATGTTGGTTTGAAATGAGCCGATATTTTATTTTCGAAGAATGTAAATTCATACACTACAGTTCAGCTGAGGAGAATGGGATAGTACATTCAAAAAATGATAATTCACTCACTATTTACTCTCCGTCAAGTAGTTCCAAACCTTTATGAGTTTATTTCTTCTGTTGAACACACAAGAAGATATTTTGCTGAAAACTATTGACTTCTATAGTGGAAAAAATAAATACGGAATGGTACATGGTCAATGGTTACAGGTTTCCTACATTTTTATAAATATCTTCTTTTGTGTTCAACAGAAGTAAGAAACTCATAAAAGTTTGAAACATGTAAAGGGTGAGTATATGATGAGAATTTTCATTTTTGGGTGAACTGTCCTAAAGTTGTTTTTAAAGATGTTTTGAATCAACAAGAACAGTCACTGATTGAAAGAGTCTACAAATAAAACTCAATTCCTACAAGAAATCTCCAGTAAATAAATGTTGTTCTTTTATATTCTAGATATTGCCACAGTATAAAGTAAGTCCATAAAGTATTCATAGCGCTTCACTTTTTCCACATTTTTTTGTTATAGTCTTATTCCAAAATTAAATTAATTAATTTCATCAAATTCTACACACAACATCCCATAATGACAGTAGCAAATTTATTAAAATTAAAAAAAAAACTGAAAAATCACATGTACACATTGCCGTGAAGCTCTAAATTGAGCTTACGTAATATTCTGTTTCTACTAATCACTCTTGAGATGTTTCAGCAGCTTAACTGAAGTTCACATGTGGTAAATTCAGTTGATTGGACTTGATTTGATAGACAAGATTGTCTCTAGGCACAAGACTGGAGAATGTTATAGAAAAATTTCTGCTGCTCTGAAAGTTCTAATAAGCACAGTGGCCTCCATCCGTAAGTGGAAGATGTTTGGAACCACCAGGACTCTTCCTAAAGCTGGCCGGTCATCTAAGCTGAATGATCAGGGAAGAAGGGCCTTAGTCAGGAAGGTGATTAATAACCCTGATGGTCACTCTGTCTGAGGTCCAGCGTTCTTCTGTGGGGAGAGAAGACCCTTACAAAAGAACAATCATCTGTGCAGCAATCCACTAATCAGGCCTGTATGGTAGAGGCCAGGCCAGACTGAAGCCACTCCACGCATGGAATTTGAAAACACGTAATGGAGAAAACCAGTCATCAATCATCACCAGGCAAATACCATCCCTACAGTAAAGCATGGTGGTGGCAGCATCATGCTGTGAGTATGTTTTTCAGCAGCAGGAACTGGAAGACTAGTCATGATAAAGGGAAAGGTGAATGCAGCAATGTACAGAGACATCCTGAATGAAAACCTGCTTCAGATTGCTCCTGACCTCATACTGGGGCGACGGTTCATCTTCCAGCAGGACAATGACCCAAAGCACACCGCCAAAATATTAATGGAGTGGCTCTACAACTACTCGGTTTATGTGCTTCAGTGGCCTAGCCAGAGCCCAAACCTAAATCCTATTGAACATCTCTGGAGAGATCTCACTATTTACTCAACCTTGGGTGGTATTAAACATTTATTAGATTATTTTTTTCTGTTAAACACAAAATAAGTTATTAAAAAAACAGTTACTATAGACTGCCATAGTGAGAAAAAATTGACTATGGAAGTCAATGGCTACAGGTTTCCAACCTTTTTCAAAATATCTTCTTCTGTGTTTAACAGAAGAAAGAAACTCAAACTGGTTTGAGACAAGTGAATGATGACAGAATGTTCAGTTTTGGGTGTGCTGTCCCTGTAAAAACAGCATTAAATGTTTTGGGTGAACTAACCCTTTAAACCGAACCTAACAAATCTAAACACACCCTAAGATTCTGCGCAGACATTGTCTCTGAGATCACAAAAATGAGAAGATCGCATCTGAAAACTCAGCTGTGAGCATTTGTAGAGTGTGCAAATCTCTGTTTAACCTGACCATGTGCATGAGAGAGAGACAGAGAGAGCTGTTAATGTGATGGCGAGCCCAGTCCAGAGCTCATCTCATGTGTTCCTGATCCTCACTGAAGGGTTCAGCGCTCACAATGGAGAGCCTGTTCAGCTTTATTCCACATTCCCTCAACAGCCATTTATCTGCACCCGAGTCACTGGGTCTGTAGCGTTTGCATGTGCTGCAGCATGTGATTGTGTGTGTGTGAGTGTTTGGAGGAGGGGGTGGGGAAGACTGCTGAAATAGACAGGAGAAGCGGCCTGTCTGTTTTTGAATCAATCTTTTTGAATTCTCCAAACAAAGTAACTAATAGAGCGTTACATTTATACCACATCCTGATCCGATCTGCTGTTGTTTGAGATCAATGGAAATGAACTATGCGAAGCCTTATTAGTGACTGGTTATGAATGATGGGCTGCAATTTCCAGGTGAAATGAGAGCGGAGCTGAAACGGCGAAAGAAAGGATCTCTGGGCCCCCAGATTATGGAGAAAGGCTTTTTAGGCCAGTCCTCCATGATCAAGGGCTTTAATAAGGGCTCCCGGGGGCTTTGAGCGACCCGCTATTGTTCAGATCTCAAGAGGAAACCGAACGATTCTTCGATTCCTCTCTGATAATGCCAGGGGTTTTTAAGAGTGAATATTAATGAACGTGATTCTCATCTACTGTTCTGTAGCAATGCAGCTGATGTAAGTATTCAAGTGTCACTCTCATTAATTATCATGATGGATATAATCTGGCGAGAGGTCTGTGTTTAGTCCTTGTATTCTGTTATTTGCTCATGATGTCCTCTGATTTAAGTTTTTCCTCGAAGCGAAGTGTGACTTTGCTTCAGGATTGTTTTGAACCCAAATCTGTTTTTATATCTGTCACTCTTGGTTGATAGAGAATAAAATGGAGAGAGAGAGAGAGAGAGACCAGGAGAAAGAAGAGAGACATTATTCGTAATAGACTTGGATATGAGGAGTTACCGGTTATATTATATTATATTATATTATATTATATTATATTATATTTTATTATATTATACTTTATTATATTATATTATATTATATTATATTATATTATATTATATTCATTAATTTTCTTGTTGGCTTTGTCCCTTTATTAATCCGGGGTCGCCACAGCGGAATGAACCGCCAACTTATCCAGCAAGTTTTTATGCAGCGGATGCCCTTCCAGCCGCAACACATCTCTGGGAAACATCCACACACACACATTCACACACACTCATACACTGCGGACAATTTAGCCTACCCAATTCTCCAGCACCGCATGTTTTTGGACTGTGGGGGAAACCGGAGCACCCGGAGGAAACCCACGCGAAGGCAGGGAGAACAATAGACAGCAAACTCCACACAGAAATGCCAACTGAGCCGAGATTCGAACCAGTGACCTTCTTGCTGTGAGGCGACAGCGCTACCTACTGCGCCACTGCCTCGCCCCTATATTATATTATAACATATTATATTATATTATATTATATTATGTTATGTTATGTTATGTTATGTTATGTTATGTTATGTTATGTTATGTTATGTTATGTTATGTTATATTAATAGAAATGCTCTCGCTAAGTATAGTAGACATTGCTTTAATTATGTTGTTTTGTATTACTTTAAGTCGTTTGTGATGCAGAGACACACAGTCAAGTCTTTTGTTGAACAGATTCACCACTTTCGACGCTCATAGATGTGCATAAAAATCATCGTGCTGCACGTATTTGGAGGTTTTCTGATGGTATCAGCTTTTGTGCAGCGGGGGGTGGGGGGGTTGTATCTTTAATAAACTATGACAGTTTGCCTTCATTGAAAAGTAAGAATGATTAGTAAATCCATATGGATCAGTTCCTTAAAAGTGACGTCGCGTCTTCAGTTTTGCGTTCAGGCATGCTTTGCATTCAAAGTTCAAGCGTACCTCGCCAAAGCCCAACTAAACCACGCTCTGGTAAACCTCTTCCAACCAGGCCAAGACTGGCCAACTGAACCCTGCCTGAACTCGATATGGAGCAAACACACTTGTCAAACTAACCAGGAAATGCACCCGGGCATGGTTCTGATAGCCTAGTGTGAGTACATCCTAAAAGTTTTAGGGCTGCTAAAATATTTTATTCTGTCAAGAAAAAAACAACAACTCTTGTGCTCATCAAAGCTGGAAGAATGTGGTTACGAAAAAATAATACTGTGAAATATTATTACAAATGAAAAATAAGGCTTTATTTTTTTTAGAGATTTTCAAATGCAATTTATTGTTGTATTTCCAACAGCCATTATTTCAGTATTCTGTGTCATGGCATCTTTCAGATATCATTCTAAAATATTGATTTGGTAAATATTTGAAATGATTATTGAAATAAAAATATTTTTTTTTACAATTCATTAAATTTTTTTCATGAATAGAAAGTTCAAATATTGTTAAAATAAATGTAATAAAAATACAGAAGAAAAAGCTTTTAGGAGCAGACCCCAAAATAAAATGAAAGAAATAAAAGTGTTGAGTGGCCACTGATGAGTGACACCTCAGCATCTGGTGAATGAGAAACAGCAGCCACTACTGCGTCTGAATTACAGCTTATGACATCCTGCACATCAGCCTTGACTTATGCGACACTACAAGCTCTGCTTATATTTGAAAAATCCATAAACTCATCCGCACTCTAACATTTACGTGTGCACTCGGTTCTAACCCAATAACGAGAAAGGGTTTGATATGATGAGCGGGACGGATAGAGACGGGGAAGAGATGTTCTCATTTACATTCTTTATGTTTGAAAATCCATTAACCCACTTTGCCCTCAGCCAAGAGTCCATGGCAAATCCAATCAGTCTGTTCCCTGTCTTTACACAGCCGTGGGTGAGAGTAAGACGAGAGATGGAGAAAGTTAACCTGTTCAAAAGAGCCAGGGAAATGCGAGAAGGAATTTGGGGAGAGAGAATAAGTGAAAGTTTGACGTTAACTTAATTTGTATCTTCTTCCAGGTCTGCTCTGCCAGAAAAGATGAGGAGGAAAATATGACGAAGGACTGAAGCAGAATTTATATATTTTAGCTGTCACCAACGCAGACTGTGGTGGTATTATCGCTGTTTATATGCACAAATTTCTATTTAATTACAGGAGTTCTGCTCCCAAAAGTCAAAAAGTACATCAAAAGTGTAAGTGGAATAGTGGTCAAGTGTGGTCAAGTGTAAAGACCACAAGTGTGAGTATTTGGATGGGCCCACTCACATCATTCCTGAATGAATCAGCCTTCTGGTGAAATCAATTGAATCGGGACAAAGATATTGACTAGAAAACAACCTGGGATTTTCTAAATGTATAGGTCACTGCTTAGGACTATTTGAAAGGCAGCTCTAACAGCAAAAATAGAGCAGTATTTAAGCATTTTCACAAGTTAAATATACTTCTATACCTTAGATTCCTATAGTAACTGGTGTTCATCTGTAACCTGTTGGTAAAATCCTTACTCATCTGACAAACTCAATTTAACTGGCTGATAAAATATCAGACTTTGAAGAATTGTGAGTCATTTTAAAGTGGCTGAAACAGCAGGTTTCCTCAGACAGCAGGTTGTCCAGATGAAGGCTAAAGGCATGCAGACCCTTTCAGTTATGGCAAGTTGATAATTTAAATTTGTTTTATAATGTCACTGATTGTTTTAAGTCCCCAAATCCTTTTAATACCATGAAAGAAGTGTGAGAAAGTGTGAGAAGCCATAATAATGCAGAGGATGTCAGCGAGCAAGTGATTCAACACTGTAGCGGGAATTACTCACCGCTTCAGAGCTGAACAGAATAAAGATCTGTCTCAGCATACAACGTCTTGAATTTTAAGCTATCTTGGACTGAATTCAACCAAAAAAAAAATCAATAGGGCAGACTAACCTTTGATGAGCAGTGTGTTGTGTAAAATGTGTTTTTTATCACTTTTGGAAAAAAAAACCTGCATATTAGTAATTTAAAAGATTCTGTTATCATAAAAAAATCATCCTAATGTCTCGTGTGTGTCTCATGTGAATGCCAAGTGCCATCCAGTTAAAAACTAATGGATGCGACTGCACACACTTGACTAGAGACCCTGCACCCCACAAAAGTGTTTACTTGGTTTCATCATCCTGGAACGGTTTGTTTTTTATCATTGACAGAATATAGATTTGTTAGAGCACAATATTTTCAACGCAATCCTACAAAAATAAATAATGAAGTATTTTAAACCTTTAACCTGTAAGACAAAAAACAACCCACGGCAAGTGGTTAAAAGTAACTTAGTTCCGTGAAAAAAACTTTCAGACTTGGCAACCCTATACTTTAGTGATAAAAGCTTGTTTAATGTGTTCATTTAAAGAAATGGCCTGAACACATCCTGCTCATTTCTGACTGCTTCAGTCAATCTATAGAAACTTTAGTAGTAGTAATCATTCTTTGTGCTGAAATCGTTGCTGTTCTCTAATTTAAATCACTGTGTTTTCCACTAAATAAAAGGGTATTATTAAAAATTACTTTTTTTTGGTAGAAACTACTATAAAAACAGTTTAGTCCCAACAACAACAAAAAAACTTTGAACAAGACTATATTATTTCTGAAATAATCACGTGTTCACAAATTGTTTACCAATTTTTATCCACATAAGAAAAACGCTCAGAGAAAGCAAATTAAGAAAGTAAATATTAATCCTTAATGGATGTAAGAAATGTTTTTTTTATTTTTTATTTTTTTCTCCTGTTGCGCTCAACAAACAACCAAATAAACAGAGAAGTTTCTCATGACCTTAAGGTTATTTTTACACCTTTCTCCAAATATCAGGAGGTAAAATATTGACCCTCAAGCATGACCAAATGACCAGAGAAGGGTTGATCTTGACCTTAAGGTTAACTTTCCCCAAATTTCAGTAGGTAGAATATTGACTATCATGCTGACACTACAAACCTCAAATTTGTGCTTTGCAATCAGAATTAATGTGCACCTACAGTAGCTGAGAGAGAAGGTAAGCCTAATCAATTCACTCTTCTGTCTTACCTAATAGGCTGACCTTTGGCCAGCACCCACATTTTGACTTTAAAGGTGAGGGTTTCCTGCTGAAACATTGGAAACCCAGCTGTGGGATAAGTGCACATCACCCGGCATTCTCGGACACATGTGTTGGCTTTCTAATGTGACTGCAATGGGCTTCCCAGTCTTTGAAGAGGAAAATGATGGCACACCTCTGAGGTTGCATATACTTATATCAAATAGCTTGGGGTTTCATTATCTGTCTTTTTATTCATGTAATCCTTATTACTCATCTTCATTTCGCATTTTATATGCCTTTTATGTAATTTTGTTGTATTTCGATTAATGATATTCACGATTACGATTCATGATTATTGACTATTATTGTGATAATTGATATCAGCTGTGTGTACCAGCAATAAACAGTTGTATTGCTTGATTAGTATGGTGTATGGACCGTTATTGGTGCCTTCTCTTGTCGATTAGCACCACACTAGTCTCACTTGTATAAACACAAACCATGCTAAAACCTTTTTGGTATGCTGAAACATTTTACAAACATATTGTTATTATTATTTCTAAAGTTTGGGGCATAGAAAAATTTGGAAAGTGAATAATATATTTGAAGTGAATATATCTTTCATTGATCAGATTGTGCCACTAAATTTTTTCTTACATTAATTTTCACAAATTATCAAACTAAGAAATGTAGGCAAAGAGCCCTGGTTTAGTAAATAATTGTATGTTTGAGCAGCAATCAAGGTTTTTTTTTGTTGTTGTAGATAATATTTCAAACGTGACAGAGATTTGCATATGCAAGCCAATGCACGAGAGAACAGGCTCTTGTTTGTTTTTTACAACTTCAAGCACTGGTAACAAATTACCATGAGAATAGTTTAATAATGAATTGTTGCACTTGTAATTTCTAATTTTTCATAAATTCATCCATGTGCCACCTCTGAAATATTACTTAAATCATTCCTAATGTAGACACCAAACAAGCTCAAAACAAGCAATCTACATAGACGGAGCAAAATCTAAATTAAATTAGTACACAACCCCCACAATTAAACCTCACTGGACCAAAGTTTCACTCATGAATATTAAAAACACAACATAAACCAGACTTTATCTCTCATAAGCTGCAGTTCTTCCTTACCACTATAAACTTGACTTTCTCTCTTGAAGAGTTCAAAACGAACTGAAAATGTACGCCGGGAGCTCGTCCAAGGCACAAACACAGTAAATAACAGCAGCACACACCAGAGAGTCACCTAAACATTTGCCAGCAATAACCAAGACTCCCATGCGAGAGATGAATTCTGAAATCTGTAAACATTTGGAGAGTGGAGGGAGTGAAAAGATAAAGACCCACCTCTCAGACAGAGGAAGGTGAGGAAGTCTTCCGTTTTGGGTTTGCGTCGTGTGAGATGGTTGAGCAGGGCGGCAGGGGTCGGGCTCAGGGCGTCCAGCACCTTCAGCGGGGTGGCGTTTGGTGAGCACGGATGAGACTGAGCAAACTTCCTCTGAGCCTGCAGTCTTGGCCTGGTGCGAGGAACAGGGAATTAGGGAAATCAGAGGATTAGTTCTGCTAGAAATGAAAATGGCGTCATTATTTACGCATCAATCTGTCATTCTTCTTTTATTGAGCAAGTTTAAAGGCATTTATCGGTTGTTCTTTTCAAATCTGCTTCAGTAAATGCGAATCGAACTTTGCTTTTGTCTATGTCACACTAAAAGATTTCTCTGTTTTGAACAAAGCACTAAATAATAAAAACAATGTTTACCAGTGAATTTACTACAAATCATGTTTGACTACTTGTTTTCTTCAACCTTAAACTACCTCTTTTGCACTATATCTTGCTCAATATTGTTTTGTCTTAAGCAAAAATACTTGAGTTGTCTGTCTTAGGTTATGTCTATAGTTGAAGTATTCATTTAAAGTATAGGTTAGGACAGCACAATATATTGTTTGAGCATCGATACTGCAATGTGTGCATCCGCAAAAGTCACATCACAGGATTACATTATATATTAAAGATTAAAAGATAAAGAAAATATTATTTTAAATTGTTTATGCAATGAGGACCATGTTATTTTACATTTGATGTTCAAGTTCTGTACATGAATACTGTTAGACACCCCAGAAAACAATAAAGCAGTCATCGTTTATTTGGTTTTGCTTATAATTTATGCAGATACGTTGCATAGAAAAATACTTGATCACCCCAGTCGACCTAAATTAATGAAATCGTTTCAAATAGAGCTATTCAATTCATATAGTGGAATTATATTTATATTTTTTCTTTCACTTTCGCCAATTGGTGAAGTTTTGTTCCTCGACACTGTTGCCACTGACTTGCTTGGTTTGGGACTTGTGGAGCTGCGCATCGATGGATTTGCTCTTCAGTGTTTGGACTTTCAGCAGTGAAATATAAACCACACTGAACTGCACTAAACTGAACTTCAACTCTGAAAACTAGACTGACACAGTTTCAATCTACTAGAACTTCTAAAGCATCGTTTCCATCCAACGAGTCAAAGCGAACAAAATCATCACTTCCTGATTAACTGGCACCAAATATCAACAGTAAAAACTGCATTTGCTGCAGTAGGAGAAGCTGCATCAATCGTTTCTAAATGAATGCGCCTCAGAAGACAATCCTGATAAGCAGTGAGCGCGCAGTGGCGTTTGAGGGTGTCAGACGCGGAGCTAAGGCGCTCTTGATTCTGGAGGTCATTAATAATATAATAACATTAATACTGAAATGGTAAGGCGTTTTATAATGACCAAAACAACATTTCAGATGTTTTATAATGTGCTCAGCCTGACGTTTTATCCATTCACACACATTTTAAGCATCACATGATCTCTTTTAACAAAATCACATGACCTTTTTTATGACCTTTTTTATTAATGCGCATGCTGGAGTTTGTGCGGTAAAAGTGTCCATCGCAGTTTATGCGCATCTTTTCTTATCGAATAAAAAGTTTATCCTACCCAGCTAGGCGCATAAGTTTTTTATGCGCATTTTCAAAATTTATAAGCATCATGGCATTTCTATCAACTGTTTTTTTAATGCGCGTTTGCAAAATGCGCATAAAGTAGGTGGATGGAAACATACCTTATGTTAAGCTGTTTTGACACAATATACATTGTAAAAGAGTTGTAAAAATAAACAGGAATTGAATTGAATTATGCAATGTATATAGCAGAAAATCAAAATATCGCAATGTCAGATTTTTCCAAATATCGTGCAGCCCTAGTATATGTATTGTTAGTAATTATTATAGTTAGATTGATGCTCCAGTGTGTTACTTATGTATAGGTTTAAAATGGCTCTTACGTCCAGTGTTATGTTCATATATATGATTATGTATTTTGTAGCACTGTGGTCCTGCGAGACAACATTTAGTTATACAGTATGTCCACACATGTATTGGAATGACGATAAGGGCCTACTCACACTATGCCATCCGTACCGTGCCCAGGCCCGTTTCCCGGATCGTTTGAGAAGTGTGAGTGCGCTGAATCGCGCTCAAGCACGGTTCACTTGGCCGGCATAATATATTTGCAGATATCTCCAATCCGATTTCGTACTAGTACAATTGTAATTGCAGATATGTCTAATTGTCATTCTGACTAGTCTAATTATAATTATGACTAGTCAAAATATAATTAGAGATATCTCTAAATATATTTATGGATAGTCAGAACAAGGTTTAAATGCTAAAACGGCTTGCCATACGCTCTCACTCAGTAGCACAGTGGAGATTTCTCTAGTTATATCGTTTCAGTCGTTTGATATGCCGTCAAATATTTCGCCAAACAGTCCTTAGGGATGCGGGGACACGCAGTCATCCGCCACTTTTGGCGCTCATAAACAATCATAAAGCCCTCGTGCTGCAGGAATGAGGTGGTCTGCTGAAGGCGCGCAGCTGTCATGCTGTGAGGAGTTTGCGTCTTTAATAAACTACGGCAGTTTGCGTTCACTGAACAGTAAGAATGATTAATAAATCCATATCAAACAGTCCCTTAAAAGTCACGTCTCGCTTTCGGTTTTGGGCTTTGGCGCGTTTTGCACTCACACACAAGCGTACCGCGCCAAAGCCCAAGTGTACCGCGCTCAGGCACACCTCTTCCAACCGGGCCAGGGCCGGCCAAGTGAACCGTGCTTGAGCGCGATTCAGCGCACTCACACTTCTCAAACGATCCGGGAAACGGGCCTGGGCACGGTACGGATGGCATAGTGTGAGTAGGCCCTGAGTACGGCCTAAAGCTCTTAACAATGACAATTGTCATCTTGGAATGACAATAAAATTGACTTTAACTGGAGTTGAAGATGAGAAAAAATAATCATAGAAATTGAGAGGTTTGGTTTTCTTTTCTTTTTTATGCAATTTTGATATGTCCCTTTGATTCAAATTCATTCAATAATTTTCTTTTTAGCTTAATCCCTGTATTAATCAGAGGTTGCCACAGCGGAATGAACTGCCAACTTATCCAGCATATGTTTTACACCGCGGATGCCCTTCCAGCTGCAGCCCAACATTGGGAAACACTGTGGGGGAAACATGAGCACCCAGAGGAAACCCACACAAACACAGGGACAACATGCCAACTCAACTCAGAAATGCCAACTGACCCAGCCGGGGCTCGAACCAGTGACTTTCTTGCTGTGAAACAATCATGCTACCCACTGCGCCACCGTGACATCCCTTGATTCAAGTTGACACTTTAATTTAATTTTAATAGTGAATGTTTTATTGAGGCTGAAAACTAGTATACAAACTATTTTTATAATCCATAAAAGAGACGGAAACATTTATCTGAAGCCCATTTTTAAAACACAGCATGAAACCACATTTGAGTTTAAGTTTGCAGGCAGAAGGACAAATATATCAAGTAAATTACATTATGCTAATTTGTGCCTGTGAAGGAATGAATCGCTGTCATTTTAGAAGAATTATCGTAAGTAACATGCCGGGCCCTCCATATTTTTAAATAATTTTACCTTTCATTTGAAGCCTCGTGTTTTATTCAGTTTTATTTTAGCACTTAAGTAAAGAGTTTTGGGAATCCAACAAAAAACAAAACAAAAGAGGCAGAGTGATCTGAATCACACCTTTAAAAAAATATCCAATTCTACAACTTTCTGTACATTTTGGTTAGTAGAAAGAAGAAATTATTAGGTAAATTTAAGTGTCAATTTGAATTAAAGGGGTGGCACAGTGGCTTGGTGGTTAGGACTGTTTCCTCACAATAAGAAGGTCGCTGGTACGAGTTTGCATGTTTGTGTAGGTTTCCTCCAGTTGCTCTGGTTTCCCTCATAGTCTAAAGACTTGCACTAAAGGTGAATTGGATCCACTAAAATTGCCTGTAGTGTGTGTGTGTGTGTGTGTGTGTGTGTGTGTGTGTGTGTGTGTGTGTGTGTGTGTGTGTGTGTGTGTGAGAATGAGTGTGTATGGGTGTCTCCCAAAACTAGGTTGCAGCTGGAAGGGCACCTGGGGTCCGTTCTTCGTACCTCGCTTAAAGGATCTAAGATTATTTGGCAGATCCTGGATCTCGCTAATTTGGTTCTTCAAACAAGTTCGCAAATCAGATAAGAATGTCTGGATAAACTGATCTGAGATTGCTGCGTGTGTTGTGAAGGACAGATCTATCGATCCTCGAAATCATGATCAGCAATGCAACGATTGGCTGACGGCACAGCAGCGTAATGACATCATCTGATTAATATTCAATTATCCATGTGAGCAAAATTACATCAAATTAGCAGTAAACGGCTTGTTAAATATGACACGCAATAACCTTCCACATTTGTTGTGAGCTGCAGGCTTTACACTTTCATGTGTCAAGAGTATTCATCATGTATTTCAATGCAAATCAATGTATTTAGTTCTACATTTAGAAAAGATTTTCTTTATTATAGTAGCCGTTTTTTTAATCTGTGTAAAGAATAACTGGTTGTTTACAAAAACCTTTTCATATTGGTAAAGGTGTCTGCAACTTTTGTGAAGCATCAAATCACTGGCATATTAACTGTCAAAACATGTTTATGACTGCATAAATGTATTATTGCTTTTAAAAAAAGTCACATATTGTGCATTTCTATTATACACAATTTGTACTAAAGCGATCTAAAAAGTTCATATCAATAAGTTTTCTATTTGCACCACCAGGTGGCAGTCTTTGTACTTTCATTTCGAGGGTGCAGATTGCATACGTTTGATTAATATGTATAACTTAATTTATTTTATTAATGACTAAAACTTTATATATATGGTTAAAATATGTACCATTTTCCCAAGTGTATAACTACTGTAAGAAAATATCAGAATTGGGAACATACTTTCTGTATTATCTTTGCTTGAACTAAGCCGAGCTAATCCTGTTTATATGAATTGAACCTGCTCCCGATCAGGTTTGAGCTAGCAGAACTGTTGCTATGACAACAACTCTCGGATCAGCTTTGAAGAACGAAACAATCCTGGATCGTGCCAAATTGTCAATATCCAAATCCAGCTAACTGAGTAATCCACGTACGAAGAACGGACCCCTGATGTGAAACACATATGATGGAATAGTTGGTGGTTCATTCCGCTGTGGCAACCCCAGATAAACAAGGGACTAACCCGAAGAAAAATGAATGAAGGAATGAATTTTATTCAAAGAGACTGCATTACTGTATTTTCAGAAGACTTTAGAATCCATGAGAAGAAAGCACTTGAAATTGAAAAATAAATTCAGTTTATTTCAAGTAGGTATCACTGCAGCCCAGAGATGTGGGAGAGATTACACTGCAAGTAGGTTGGATTACCTCCAAGTGGGAGGGGTTTACGCCATAGATGGGCTGGGTTTAGGTGGTTTGGGTGAAGTAGACATTATTAAAACACATCAGGTTACTGTGAGGTTGGGTTTAGGGTTGGGGTAGGTGTAGACATTAATAAAACACAACAGTTACTGTGAGGTTGGGTTTATGGTCGGGGTAGGTGTAGACATTAATTAAACACAACAGTTACTGTGAGGTTGGGTTTATGGTTCGGGGTAGGTGTAGACATTAATAAAACACAACAGTTACTGTGAGGGTTAGGGTTAGGGTTAGGTGTAGATATTAATTAAACACAACAGTTACTGTGAGGTTGGGTTTATGGTTCGGGGTAGGTGTAGACATTAATAAAACACAACAGTTACTGTGAGGGTTAGGGTTAGGTGTAGATATTAATTAAACACAACAGTTACTGTGAGGTTGGGTTTAGGGTTAGGGTTAGTTGTAGACATTAATTAAACACAACAGTTACTGTGAGGTTGGGTTTATGGTCGGGGTAGGTCTAGACATTAAAAAAACACAACAGTTACTGTGAGGTTGGGTTTATGGTCGGGGTAGGTGTAGACATTAAAAAAACACAACAGTTACTGTGAGGTTGGGTTTATGGTCGGGGTAGGTGTAGACATTAAAAAAACACAACAGTTACTGTGAGGTTGGGTTTATGGTCGGGGTAGGTGTAGACATTAAAAAAACACAGCAGTTACTGTGAGGTTGGGTTTATGGTTGGGGTAGGTGTAGACATTAATAAAACACAACAGTTACTGTGAGGTTGGGTTTATGGTTGGGGTAGGTCTAGACATTATTAAAACACAACAGTTACTGTGAGGTTGGGTTTATGGTTGGGGTAGGTGTAGACATTAATAAAACACAACAGTTACTGTGAGGTTGGGTTTATGGTTGGGGTAGGTGTAGACATTAATAAAACACAACAGTTACTGTGAGGTTGGGTTTATGGTCGGGGTAGGTGTAGACATTAAAAAAACACAGCAGTTACTGTGAGGTTGGGTTTATGGTTGGGGTAGGTGTAGACATTAATAAAACACAACAGTTACTGTGAGGTTGGGTTTATGGTTGGGGTAGGTGTAGACATTAATAAAACACAACAGTTACTGTGAGGTTGGGTTTATGGTTGGGGTAGGTGTAGACATTAATAAAACACAACAGTTACTGTGAGGTTGGGTTTATGGTTGGGGTAGGTGTAGACATTAATAAAACACAACAGTTACTGTGAGGTTGGGTTTATGGTTGGGGTAGGTGTAGACATTAATAAAACACAACAGTTACTGTGAGGGTTAGGGTTAGGTGTAGATATTAATTAAACACAACAGTTACTGTGAGGTTGGGTTTATGGTCGAGGTAGGTGTAGACATTAAAAAAACACAACAGTTACTGTGAGGTTGGGTTTATGGTTGGGTTAGGTGTAGACATTAAAAAAACACAACAGTTACTGTGAGGTTGGGTTTATGGTCGGGGTAGGTGTAGACATTAATAAAACACAACAGTTACTGTGAGGTTGTGTTTATGGTCGGGGTAGGTCTAGACATTAATAAAACACAACAGTTACTGTGAGGTTGGGTTTATGGTCGGGGTAGGTGTAGACATTAAAAAACACAGCAGTTACTGTGAGGTTGGGTTTAGGGTTGGGTTAGGTGTAGACATTTATAAAACAAAACAGTTACTGTGAGGTTGGGTTTATGGTCGGGGTAGGTCTAGACATTAATAAAACACAACAGTTACTGTGAGGTTGGGTTTAGGGTCGGGGTAGATGTAGACATTAAAAAAACACAACAGTTACTGTGAGGTTGGGTTTAGGGTTAGGGTTAGTTGTAGACATTAATAAAACACAACAATTACTGTGAGGTTTGGTTTATGGTCGGGGTAGGTGTAGACATTAAAAAAACACAACAGTTACTGTGAGGTTGGGTTCATGGTCGGGGTAGGTCTAGACATTAAAAAAACACAACAGTTACTGTGAGGTTGGGTTTAGGGTTAGGGTTAGTTGTAGACATTAATAAAACACAACAGTTACTGTGAGGTTGGGTTCATGGTCGGGGTAGGTCTAGACATTAAAAAAACACAACAGTTACTGTGAGGTTGGGTTTATGGTCGGGGTAGGTGTAGACATTAAAAAAACACAGCAGTTACTGTGAGGTTGGGTTTAGGGTTGGGTTAGGTGTAGACATTTATAAAACAAAACAGTTACTGTGAGGTTGGGTTTATGGTCGGAGTAGGTCTAGACATTAATAAAACACAACAGTTACTGTGAGGTTGGGTTTAGGGTTAGGGTTAGTTGTAGACATTAATAAAACACAACAGTTACTGTGAGGTTTGGTTTATGGTCGGGGTAGGTGTAGACATTAAAAAAACACAACAGTTACTGTGAGGTTGGGTTTATGGTCGGGGTAGGTCTAGACATTAAAAAAACACAACAGTTACTGTGAGGTTGGGTTTATGGTCGGGGTAGGTGTAGACATTAATAAAACACAACAGTTACTGTGAGGTTGGGTTTATGGTCGGGGTAGGTGTAGACATTAAAAAAACACAGCAGTTACTGTGAGGTTGGGTTTATGGTTGGGTTAGGTGTAGACATTTATAAAACAAAACAGTTACTGTGAGGTTGGGTTTAGGTAGTTTGGATGAAGCAGACATTAATAAAACACATCAGGTTACTGTGAGGTTGGTTTTAGAGTTGGGGTAGGTGTAGATGTAAATAAAACACAACATGTTACTGTGAGGTTGGATAAAGAGTTGGGATAGGTGCAGACAACCATAAAGCACAATATTAGACTCCAAGGTATTAAATAAATAAAAACTCCAGCTTAATACAGCCTACTTGGAGCTCAAGTCCCACCCACTTGGTGCTGGCCGCGACTTCCGTTTATACCCTTCTCATGTATTTTGGTAGGTAGAAGGATAACTGTATCAAGTAAATTACAAAATCTGATGCATTCATTTGTGCATTAATATTCAAAATAATAAATCACTGTAGTTTCCTAAAAACAAACTTAAATTTATGTGTTGAAATAGGCCATTCCTTCTTTTATTGGATTCAATCTCTGACTTATTCCTCTTTTTTATATAAAATGCCTCTAGTTTAATAGCTACAGTTTATTGACTCAAAGTCCATAAAAAGGAAAAGGACAGAAGCACAATGATCTGAATCATTTGGTGGGAAAAGAGATGCTAATCTAATCATACAGAAGACCTGCGGAGGGAAGCACTTGGGTCTGATATATAAAAGCTAAGCAAAAAGCCTGACTGTGCAAGTCATTTTTAATTGGCCAAGAGCATATGTTGTGCTTTGATGCTTCTTCCAAGCACTTGATGTTCAAACAAGAATCAACCAAGCAGGATATCCATCATTGATTAGCTCAAAAACCAGTTACATTTTGCTGATGAACAATCACTGATTCAACCTAGAAAGAAACATTATATCTTTTACCACTGAAAGATACATAAAGGGATAGCATTTCAGTCCATTCACTGCTATTTTCCCACTTAGTTCATGAATGATGATTTATTCATCCATTAAAGCTCTTTTTAACCATGCACTAACACAGAATGACACAAAACCACAATAAAGTGCAGGTCTAAGTAAACTCACTTCTTCCTGGCAGGCCCGTCCATAGAGAACTCATGGTTGCGCTCTTTGCTCTGCACTGCATGCTGGGTCCGTTCTGACTTACAGCTTCCCACAAACAGGCCAGCTTTAGTGCCCGATCCATTCAGATGACCATTAGCAAAGGAGCCTGGGGAAGGAGATGTGGTTCAGATATAAACAGGCAAACATGAACAGAAAAGCAAACAAATTCCTCCATGCTGTTCTTAAGCCGATCTGTTCGCAAGAAATAAACTAATCCAAAGGGAGCAGAAACACTTTAAAATGTCTCTGAAATGGAGAAGAGGATTTTTCAAATCACTAAGTGTAAGCACTGTGGTGAACAAACATGAGTGGACACTCAGAATGAACTGACAGGAAATAAAGAGCAAAATCAAAGTGTGTATAGTGTCCTGTTACGTTTATCTAAGATTTCAGTGTTAAATTGGGCAAAAATAAAATAGATAAATAGAAAATAAATAGTTCATCTATCCCCTTACTGATTTCGCAATTGCAAAACGTGATCATTAATTGAGAATAAAAACTATGGATCTCACAACATGTATGGGGCCCTAGAAGAAATATAGGTGACACACCTCCTTTTTAAAATCGTACATTTTCGTACGACTGAGCTTCCACGAACTAGCCACTAAACTGACAAAACGTAAAATACTTATGGTTCCTCATGAGATCGTAGGCCCTATTAGAATGGCTCTGTTTATTATTGTTCTGAGTTTGGCAAAATGACTCAACAGCGCCACCTATGCACTTTTGACAGAGTGGTCCCCAATGTACATTTCACACACACATGCAAAAATTTGCACACACCTCAAACATGCCAATGCCTACAAAAAGTCTCTTGGAGCGAAATCTCACAACTAACAGGAAGTTAGATATTTTTAACTTCCTCTGACAAAAAAGGCCATTTCCAGGCTTTGTATTTCTCCTAGGGATTTTAGCAGATCAACAGCCAAAATTGGATATTTTCATCTAAATGTCTTAGCGATGTTAAATTGTGAAGATCTAGAGTTTTCGTCAAAGGGCGTGTCCGTGGCGCTCTCAGAAATGTTGATGTTTCACTACGAAACAGAAAGTTGTTATAAGACATGCATTGTCTGATCTGCTTCAAAATCCATACATTTGATTAGAGTCCTGACCTGAACACGTTTAATGTCAATATTCAGTTACTGTTATAGCGCCACCTGCTGGCAACAGGAAATTACATGTTTTACAGTGTAACAAATGCCTCCTAGAAATTTTAATATTAAATAATAATTTATTATTTAATAAATTTATTAAATTTTATTTATTATCGAGTCTATTTGTCAGTATAATCCAAAGCCCTTTGTGATGTTAAATTGTAAAGATCTAGAGTTTTCGTCGAAGGGCGTGTCTGTGGCAGACTGAGAAAGTTCAGTGTATCGCCGTGGATGAGGAAATACTTAGAACTCATATACTTATAATAACTTATAACCGATTTGCCTGAAAATTCACATGTTCAATGATATTACTTTCCTAAAGACATCTACATGCCAACACTGAGTTACAATCATACAGCGCCACCTGCTGACAGAAGAAAGTTTGGCATAAATCTCTGATTTTTCTTAGGATTTATTTATATGTATCAGCTCAATTTATTATTGTCCGCTGTTCTCTGTTATCCTAAGGCCACCGGGTGGTGGTGAGCCCGGGTGCGAGGTCCCTTTCATTGCTGCTTGCAGTTTTAATTATAACATGTATTTGGCCTTTGTGTACGTTTAATTGCATTTTGTTAAAATTTCAAGTATTATTATATAGTTATATTTTATTACTAAATATATTCATAATTGTATTTAAAAGTTATATATTTATATAAAAAATAACTGAAAATAATGTTATGTTTTGCTAATAAATTCTGCGAAAAAAGTATACACTCTTAATGCCAAAGTCAGACTACTTCTTAAATAAATGTAGTTAATTAATAAAAGCACCTACGGTCCACATACTGAACAATAGTGTAGTTTTATTTTATTTAGCTCTGTTCATTTTTTGTCCAAATAATAGGAATATTCACAAAATAGAAATAAAATTATCTGAAAAACTCATTTGCAATATCTGTTCATGTATTGCATTTTATATTTTATGATGCTTACATTTACATGCATATTGTATAGAAAATACATCTATAGACCATTTTGAGGGTGGTCAATGGTCTCAACGTATTTCCTGTTTTACATTTTTAATAACTATAGTTTCTGAAAATCCAAAAAGATAATAAATAATGTTATGATAGCTGTTTTAACATTAGGTTGTGATTGAATTGTCTCTTATTACAGTTATGAAATAATTTGTTAACAAGCAGGAAATGTTCATGGGCCAATGACATGACCACATTGAAATGATCTCTAGTCAATGATACAGTTTATGATATAGAATGATATTTAGCATCTAGTTAATATTTTGTATTTTAGAATATATAAAATCTACATATTTGCAATATAAACAAGTAAATGATGCCATTATAAATAAAAAATGCAAGACTGTACAGGTTAACTCATCACACAAAATTCAGACAGATGCCTGATATAATTACAGAGAATATGCAAGTCTCTTTGAAATCCAGCACTATGCTTTTGATTCCAAACTAATTTGAGAGGAATCCTCAAGTGTGACTGAAAGCGCATAAAGCGGTGAGCTCACGAGGTGCTCTGCTCATGCCCTTGACATTCTCTGCGAGATGATGCACTGCGCCATACAGAGCCCAGCAGGTCACCGAGTTCAGTACATTACAGCGCACTCAGAGCCCTGCACAGCCCATACAGAGACTGCATTATTCAGGACAGCGTTTACTTTGCTCACACATTTTCAGCGCAATCATAGTAGAACAATAATATTCCTAATGGACCGTTGAGAGAGGCTGTGGAAATACAGAAGAGTCCCATAGTGATATGTGCTCCCCTGAGTGTGTCACAGATGCATCGTCTTAGAATCTAAGGTGAAACAGTTCTTCAAACACCTTTAAATTTCACACTAAACTGCACATTCCTCTGTATTTGATGATTAAAAAAAAGTTAAACTGAAGGCAATTTTTCTCCATTTTGATTAGCAAAAACACTGGAATGTGACTGATTTGATGTGATTATTTATAGGGTCATTGGTATGTGATGAAACATTAAACATTTATAAAACTGGCTTTCTAAAAGCTAAAATGGCATTCATCATACGAGTTTGTAAATGTGACCATGGTAAAAGTTCTGCTCATGAATATTAACTATGCCTGGATATGTTGGAAAGATTACCTGGCAATATCAGTATGAAGCTCATTAATATACATGAGCTTAGTCATCGCCATCACAATCCATCAAATATCTTAAAACTCACCATTGAAAAGAAGATTTTCATTAGGTTTTCTAGTAAAAATACATAAACGCTCTTAAATCATAATACAGCTACTGTTATTGAGAACCAAATGGAGAAATTTATCAAATATGGCAAAAATTTGTGCAACTATAAAAAAGCACTGATGGGTGTGGAAATTTCTGCAGATGATTTACAGACAATTCTCAAATTAAAGGACAAAGATGTAAGATCTCACTTACTTATCAACCAACGCAATAAGCCCAGCACAATTTAGCACAGTGGCAAATAAACAGAGCCGATGCTCATAATGTGCAGATGATCTATTATGACCAAGCACGGCACAATGTTTTTTTTTCCTCTACAAAGAGCTACAAAACTTATGGGGGGGCTAAAAAAATAATCAATATTCTTGATCCGAAAGTTAGTCTATTTTATAAAAAAATTGATGACAGTGGTCTCTCGTTCAGAAATCCACAAAGTAGTCCGCTTGTCACAATCACCAGCAATCCAGGCTTGTAGATCGCTGGGAATCATTCACTTTCACACAGGACTAAATATCTGTCACCATATGGACTACAAATCCTGTCATGTATCACACATTCACACCTGTTCCTGTTTTCCACTGATTGATAACACACACAGCTGAAGCTGTTCAGGACGGATTGCATGGACTTCAAAAGCAGCACAGACACACACACAACAGTTGCTGAGTCTTGTTTATCTGTCATTGTGAACATTACGACACATTTTCCTTGCCTTGCCGTGTTAGACCCTTGGTTTGTTGTATTGTTTATTCCTGTCTGCTGCCTGCCTTTTGACTATTTTATTCTTATCTTATTTTTTATAATTTTTATTATTTGTTTTCATTTTCTTACACTTGTCTCTTTTATTCTTGTTTATGTAAAGCACTTTGAATTGCCACTGTGTATGAAATGTGCAATATATAAATAAACTTGCCTTGCCTTGCCATTTCGCCTGTTTACTGACCACAACTCTGGATTTTCTGTATATCTGTTTGCCCCTGTGTTGATCATTGCTTGCCTGACCATTTTCCTAATAAAACCTGCATTTGGATCCTCAACTCCTTTCACATGACCCTGCTTTATTTTTATACGGAACGCATTCTGTATTGTATAGGTAACATGACACGGGAGATTGATCGACAATGGTCTACAGCCAATCAGGACACAGAATATAATGCGCTGTAAAAAAAGAAAACTCATATTGCAAAAAACTGCAAAATCTTCAGAAATGGACATTATACATGTGCTCATCTCGCACGCCTTATGTTCACTAACAGTAATCCATATCTGAATGTATTTATGTGAGATAGCGTTTTTGACAGTTCAGGTTCAAGAAGCCTGTCTGAGAGGACTATAAGCAGTGTTTAGTTTGTAAATGAATAATTTCTGGAACAAAACCAGAAAATAAAAGTTACAGTGACTGACGTCCACCACACAATTTCAGTTTTCTTGAAACATGATGTCCTTAATTGGTGATAGCACAAAAAAAGAGCATCACATTTCTGAATGGTCTTTAATTATTTTGTTGCCCTTTAACATTAAATGTCAAACATGGACAATAAAAACATTCTGCTATCCTGATAAATATCCTGATTTCCTGCTGTATTGATCAGGCTCATTTTCAGATTTACTGGTGGTTTTAAAGAATGAAAATATGCTTGACTCATATCCTCTCTGCCATTTTAAAAATACAAATACTATTTAGACAGGCCACTATGTCATTTATTTTGCTGCTCACTGCGCGCGAAACAATCACCAAACAATGAGAGTGATTGTAAACATAAGAAAGATGATTGGCTGAAAATACTGTTCAGGGTCAATAGTTTAACGTGACTTTTGCTTTAACATGTGAGTGGTGACTACCATTATGTGTGCGTGCGCGCACAGTCCACACAGGCTTCGGTTGCACTCAATCACATTCTCTCTCTCTCACACACACACATGCAGGTATTCACCACGCACAAGTTAATGCTGGATCCATTAAAATATATAGAAGAACGCAAAACACGAATATTTCAATATTTGACTTTTTTGGAACAGCATCTGGCAAGATCAGGCTCAAATTAAGCAGTGACTATAAGATCATGCTGGTATTTTGAGACTCACCAAAATTGTTTGTTCTAATGTGTCTTTTAATTCCTAAGGTAATTTCAAAATTACACATTTGGCAAATGATATGTTCAGATGATGTGTTCTTATGCTATCTGTTCTGTTCTCCACCCAGCATCAACAACTGCAGTAATATCAACATTTAAAACTAATTTCAAACAATGCTTAAGTTGTTATTCAAGCAACGACCAATAATTTATAGAATGCAAAAGATACTACATCATATTGCACGATTGATTTAAACGCTCTCCCCCCATAAAATTAGCATCTGACCAAGAAACTTCTACAAATGCAAACTCAGTAAGGCCAGTCGCAAAAATAGCTCCATGCTTTTTCAGCAATATTCTGCTGTGTGTGCTTAATAAATACCAACAATATAATAACTAGGGATGCATTAAATATTCGGCCACTGAAAAAATTCAGCTAAAAATGGCCCAAAAGTGCACTTTGGTGGACGTAAGATTTTTTATCATGAAACAACGCGGCCGAAACAGTATGTCATGAGGATGTAAACAGAAATCAAGGCTTGCACGTGGTGGGTGAAGCAACATGTGTTTTCTGTTCTGATCCTCTGCACTTCATCGCAACTGTCTTTGATCGACGATATAAGACCATTACTATGCACAAATAAAGCTGCATGCACGAAATGATCCAGACCAAGATGGAAAGCTGAAGTAGTGTGTGCACATGATGTAGGCCAACAGTTATATTAATATTTATACAATATAGTTGTAATGATATTTATATATGATCAAACTAGTGCTAGTGTTCAACTTAATCAAAACAGATCCTTAAATTGTTTTAAATCCGGTTTTGTAGTTCGGGCCCAAATAAATATTTGTTGCATTTTTAAATTGTTTTTATTTGCTTTCCTCTTTTTTTGATTTTCGGTTTCGGCCGAGAATTTTTATTTCAGTGCATCCCCAATAATAAAGACCAAAAAGACCATTCGTTGGAGCAGGGAGTTAGTATATCTGGCCCAAAATGTGATATTCTCCACATATCCTTCCCTGAAGGGGTTCAGAACGGCAGCTAAAAGCAGCAGTGTCAGATGTTGAGGGTCAAGGAAGTGAGTTCTTTGCTGCAGCTGCTCTAAAGGTCAGTGTTTATCTGTAGTCTCTAGATCTCTGAAAGCACTGCTCTAGGAAAGAGGAAAACTCACCATTAACTCTTCCAGTGCCGTTCTCCACTTTACTCTTCTGAGCCGTTTTAAACTCTTTAAGTGAGAGGTAGAGCACCCGGCGGACCACTCTCTCTTCTGACCACGGGATCCCATCATTATCATCCTGCAGACACACACACAAGAGTTCATGTAAACAGAAGTGTAAAAATCGATCATTCAAATGAATTTATTCAGAAATGATTCATTTGTGTGGATTTTAGTAAAGAAACAAAAACAGACAATAAAATGTAATTATAGCTTGCTGCACTGTTCACTGAAATATATCTGACATTTGTAAACACACTGAAATTCTGGGAAAACAACAATTATGCTCGAGAGTATAAATCACAGGAGCTCATTATTAGAGTTATTATTAGTATGAATAGACTTTTGCTCATTTCGATTTAGCCTATTTCTGCTCCAAGCTCTCACTGATTTCAGACCTTGCATGGTGTGCATCAATCAAGATCCAACACTGACATAACAAACTAATCCAATTTCGAGGAAGTAAACAATCCCATCATCATCTGGCATGAAGGAGAAAGTTCATTATAGAGCGGTAAGAACAAAACAGATAACCTAAAGCAAAAACATGTGCTCTCTAAATAAACATTAATTAGCTAAACAATTGGAAAAACCCATGTGATTTTATTACAACAAATAAAAGAACTGACAAACACTGAATATGGACAGGAGAAGAAAAAAAAAAAACAGCACAGAGGACTGACTGTGCTATAAATAGTGCTGTTGGCTGCAGTTTCTGAATTCCAGCACGTGTCAGAAAGCCTTTTATTACTAAATGCTCTGAAAGCAATCACAACAAATGCGGTCAGTGTTAGTATAACACTTGTTCCCCACAGAAAACCCTGTAGTAAGACATCTTTCACATTAGGTAGCTGAATGACCTCACTGTTTTTCACATTTCTCTTAAAGCCTCAAAACAAAGCTCCAGTAATGTGATCACTTATAAAGTGTTAAACTTTTAACATAACAGTTTAGTGACTTTAAAGGACATGACTGAGAACAAGCTTGGAAAAGACAACAAACTGTTAAGTTAATAGCATTCAAGTTTTAATGCCAAGGACCCACAAATATCTTTTGGTTGATGATGTGTTAAAATGTGTTCTTATTTAGTTTATATTTATGTGTTTTTAATAAAGTAATAATGCTTAATAATTTGTGTTTCTCTGAATGTAAATCTATCATGTTGCCTTTTTTAATAACAGACTGTATGTTTTCATCTTTTTAAAAGTTATGTGTGAGTCTTTCAATTGTCCTCAGTGTGAAAGGATGGATGTCAAAATAATATATTTCCTCTTGGAAATGCTTCAAATGTAGAAGATGCTAGAAAACGGATTTGCAAATAGTTGAAGACAGTTTAAACAAACAAGCTGTTGAGCTTCAAGGTAAAAAAAAGGCACCAACTTGAACTGGATAATGAATCAGATTCAGAAAGAAAACGAAAGAAAAAAAATGAAGGATGGAAGGAAGGTAGAAAGGAAGGAAGGAACCAAGGAATGAAAGAAAAAAGGATAAATGGAGACAAAAAAAGACATGAAGAAAGATAGAGCCAAGAAAAATAGAGGCTAAAGAAAGAAAGAAAAAAAAAGAAAGAAAAAACAAAGAAAAGAAAAAAGAAAAGAGTAACAAAGGAAAAAAGATGGAAAAAGGATGTGAGGATGGAATTAAAGAAAAAGGAAAGCAAACATGGAAAAAGGAGGGAAAGAAGGAAGAAAGAAAACAAAAAAAGTAAAAAAGAAGATAAGAGGATGGATGGAAGGAAAGAAAGAAAAATGAAAATAAACAGGAAAAAAAGAGGGAAGGAAGGAAGGAAGCAACGAAGGAAAGAAAGAAGGAAGAAAGGAAGAATGGAAACAAAAGAAAGACATGAAGAAAGATAGAGCCAGAAAAAGAGAAAAAGAAAGAAAAGAAAGAGAAAAAGGAAAGAAAAGAAAAGAATAGAAAGAGGAAGGAAAAGAAAGGAGTAATGAAGAAAAGAAGGACAATAGGATGTGAGGATGGAAGAAAGAAAAGAAAAAGGAACTGAAAAAAGGAAAGAAAGAAAGAAAGAAAGAAAGAAAGAAAGAAAGAAAGAAAGACACGAAGAAAGATAGAGCCATAAAAAAGAGAAAAAGAAAGAAAAAAGAAAAGAAAGAAAGAAATGAAGAAAGAAAGAAAAAAAAGAAAGAAAGAAAGAAAAAAAGAAAGAAAGAAAGAAAGAAAGAAAGAAAGAAAGAAAGAAGTAAAAAAGAGGATGTGATGAAGGAGGGAAGGAAAGAAAAGGCTAAGTAAACATGAAAAAATGAGAAGAGAAAGAAAGAAAGAAAGAAAGAAAGAAAGAAAGAAAGAAAGAAAGAAAGAAAGAAAGAAAGAAAGAAAGAAATGTCCTCTTGAAGCATCTGTTCTGTTAAGCTTGACACATCACAGGTCAAGCACAGGAATGCTGTGCAGTGGTGTGTGTATGTGTATGTGTGTTAACATGAACACTGTGAGCTTTTAAAGCACCAGGCTTTCATCAAGACATTTAATATTCTTCATATCTGCTGTACTGCTATCACAACAAATCAGACTTATTTCAGTCAACTGATCCTGATCACAAGATTGACAATTAAGCTGTCCTCCCCCCAGCGCCAGTGACTTGAAATACTGGAGCTGATTATATCAACGTGAAGTGTTTGACCTCAGTTCAGGGCCTCCTCACGGCACAGGAGGAAAGTGCCACTCTCTGGGGAGCTCCACAGGTATATTGTGGCGCTCATGTGAAAGTCCCTGTCAGCGCAAACCAAAAACAACATGACATTTCACAGGTAGAGGCCAGGCTGTATTATTTATGAGATTATGCATGTATGGGCCCACAAAAAAAGACATTAGAAAGTGGAAGCCACCATTCTCAGACTACTAGTCAAAAAAAATAAATGATTCCCTGACCTTCTAGAAACCTCATCTGTAATTATGATTTAAAAGAGTCCATTATTGTGTTAACAGGTTTGACTTCCTTTAGGGCCTAGTGTTGCTGTGTATGAAATAGATCTGCATTTCCAAAGCACAAAATCCATTCCAAAAGGAGTAAATCTCCACATCAGTAAGCACTGCTTCTATACTCTAGTTATCTAACACACTGAAATACCTGCAACTTATTACATTCAGGTAAACATGGCCAGTTTTGTTGTTGTTGTGCATTTGATATTATTTTGTTTGTCTTTGACTCAATGTGAACCAGCACCTATAGTGAACATGATACTGTTTTAGATCTGCACCAAAATAATTGGTCTGAGATTGGCTGAACTCTGGAGTGGTGAGAAAGCAATCCAACCCAATGAACCAACACAGCAGACTTTATCACACTGTTAGAGTCATTAAGCGCACCACATGAAAAATAGCACTTGTTTTTTTAATGGCTTTCAGAATAAAAACCTGGAAGTGACTAAGACGGCGAGATCTGCCAAATAAGACGTTTGGTCCAAAACACATAAAAATACCAGCAATACTTGATTACATCTTTCTTGATTTGATGAAGTAACATAACTGCTGCAAAGAAAGTCACAAGGTCCTGTGAAATAATAATACATTTTTTAGATGTTAGTAAGAGTATTATTTTAAGGATATCTATTAGCTAGTGTACTCCAAAACTGACAAAACTTGCGCTTAGAAGATATTAAACTGATACAAACATAATCAACAATTTTTTTGCGTCATACTTCAGTTTCTCATCAAATCTTCTGACCAATAAAAATGCTCTCTAGTATCTGACATGACCCGCCCCGCCCCGCCCCTTCAAGACACTTGGTAAAATCTACAAAGGATACATGGCTGGTCAAAAGCGCGAGTCTAGAAAGGAAACAGCTGCGGATTCGCACATCAACATAGCATCATATTTTTAAGGGGAGGAGCTACTCTATATCCCACCAAAGAGCTTAGAATGATCAAAAGGCAAAACTTAATAGAACATTGCAACAGCAGCACCCAGCAACAGCCCCTGATTCCACCATTTTGGAGTGAAAGCGATCGGCTGTCCATTGGATCTTATTGCTGTCGCGATGGCAAGCAGCTCCTTTGTTTTTTGTTTATTTGAAAAGCGCATTAAAGCTGAGATGCAACCTGAAAGACAACTATACAACATGTACTATCACAGTCATCAGCACTTTTAAAAGTTATTTTACAGACTTATATTTCTTAATTTCAGTCGATACAATATAATTCCGATATTGATATGGACAATATTAAAAACACAGGAAAATCTACCAAGAACGTACACAACGGATGTCTGTACCTACAAATGTCTGCAAACTGAATATGCAAAGTCTATAATAATACCTCCAGGCTCTTATAACTTTTTTTTTTTTAATAAAAACAATACAAAAAAATATTTTTCACTTTTTATTTGTATTAGCCTTTACAAACAAGAAATGTCAAATAAACTATCAAATAAATAAAACTCTCAGACTGCGCTTTTTTATTTATATAAATAATATACAGACATAGTTTATAGAGGTTAGCTTGACTAACGCGAACAAAAACTTTTATCAGCGTTTTTTTTTGTTGTACATGCTGAATGTTAAACAATCAAAATAATACCAAAATCTTACAATTATGACATCCACATCGTAAAAAACAAAGAATAATAATTATAATAACAAAATCAAAGAGTATAGGTCTTTATGCTTTGCGTGTATGCGCAAGGAGAATGCTAAGAACTTCTGGTCGGCTGCTGATGCATATAAACTGTCATATTTGGACAGCTTTGAAACAATATTTTTAATCTATTTTATTCCCTTTTAACGTCTTTGAACTAATACTGCTGATGTACAGCGCCACCTCCTGAACTTACTTTAAAAAAAATGCGATCTAACAAGATGGAAAACAACTGCTGTGAGGCATTATCTCCTTGTTGTCAAACGGCATCTTGTGCAGTTTAAATGAAGCCTTGTCATCGCTAAAGTCAACATTTTCTCTTTCTTTCAAATATTTAACCAACCAAAACAAATGTAATTCACCAAAATGTTTGACATACACAAATAGCCTACTGTACTGTCCCACTAACATAAACATAAACAGCTCACGATTAGAATCAACATGCAAATCAGCCAGCAGAGTATCAGTAACAGACTTTAATTGGTCATTTTT